TTCATCAAAGTACATTAAAATTTAGAGAAAAAAATTTATTAGAATATAACTCATTTAATAAATTATCGTTTTGAATTAAAAACGAGGAAAATAAATATAAAAGAGGGGGTGATTTTAAAGGGTAAATAGTAGAAAAATAAGAAAACTTGCAAGAATTTGAGAAGTGACCCATCTCATAAGTACCGCACAGTGCTCACAGAATAAAATAGGATTGCAAGTGCACTGATGGAAAGTGAAATAGGAAACAGTACAGCTTGGCATCCATGTGAGCACGGTGGTTAAAAGATAGAGAAAGAAAATGATTATTCAGATAGAGAGAGATGGCAGTATGTCTCTGATAGGGATGTGTGTGATATTGGTCTCTGCTTGTCCGTGATGGGATACACCTTCTTCCAATGCCTTTTAGTTTTTGTAATTTTGTAGATCCGTGAATGAGCTTTCCTTCCTCTGATGTGATATCTCTCTCACTTATCCTCAGTCTCAAACTTCATCTTTTTCCCTTCCTTTCTTATCACCATTTTTCTGTACAAAAATTGTGAATGTACGTCCAAAAATGGGGTAAATGACGAGCATGTAAGAAAGAAATAATAAAAACAAGAGATGTAATAAATAATTTGATAAAAAATAAAAAAAACTGAGGTAAAGATTTGTAAGTGACAAAAAAGTGTACAAAAATCAGACTTCATTTATGTGCTATTCAGCAGTGAGCATGCATGCGCAGAAAGAGGGTATATACTATATGCAACTTGAGACATATATCATGAACTATAGTATACACATGAACAGAACAACCCCGGGTTTAAAAAGCACTAGTTTACAGTGTGTTTTGATAAGCAGGTGATGTATTTGCAATATAATTGTAAGGGCAATTTATAAGTGCTTCAATTTAAACCAAATTTTTGGATATATAATTGCTGATAGCTTTTTAACATGTCTTTTCTAATTCGTTTCAGAAAACTCAAATATAAAAACTTGTCAAAATCTTATTGATGGAGATTTTCGATGTGCTTCAATTGACGTTAAATTCATTTAAATGTAAATTTAACTTTCAAGTTAACGTGCTTTTAAGGGAGTAATTTTAAAACAAACACTGAGTATGTTAATTACTCGCTTCTTCCTCACACGCCACAAGTGATCCCGAAACAGTTATAAGCTTTTATGTAATGAGCTTTTACTAAAAAATAGGCTGTATGATAAATTGGAAGGTAACTAGACCTGTAGTTCCCCACAAAAGGATTAGAAAGTTACGCAGACGCAGAGAGTGAATTTTACTGAAAATGAAGTTAGATGTTAAAAGTTCTGTATTCTACATGTGTTCTCCGACCACAGAATAATAAAAAAGACATTGAAGCTATTAATTGGCATTTGTCGTCAGTGGTGTCACCAAAGACTCTCCATATACGGTCAGTAACATTGAAACAGATGTTTAGATTTGCAGCAAAAACTAATGGCTGTGGTTTCTTCCCTGACGCTAATGGTTTTCCGGGTGAACGCACTGATATGTGCACTGTGTAAAATTGATTATTTAGTGGTTCAGCAATGAGTATGACCATGCAATTTGATATAGTACATTTTTTTTTGGTGGGGGGTGCATGGTTATAAAATTTTCTTATAACAAGATGTAGGGTTGCAGACACATGGCTGGGTGCAAGTGGCTATAGATGATAAATTTAATAAATTTTGCTGATGTGAAATCTGTCATGTGGGCAATTGAAGTAGGGCAGGTCTTGTACAAATCTCTAGAATGAGATATGGGTTATATATATTTGGCATATCTGTGAATTATATGATTCGACTGGGGCAAAGTATCTCATCCTCTTTGAGACAACCATGGTATACGATGTGATCCTTGAGGGGAAGTGCATTTATGAAAAAATTATATATATATAGTTTTCTAGAAAGACTTTTTAAAATAAATCACTTATTTTTTACAAATATCTAATACTAAATATGCATATTTTTTAATTATTATTATTTATAAAATATAGACAGTGAATAAATAAAAATATATCGTGAATAAAAATGTAAACGAATTATTTAAATTTAGCATATTAGTGTAAGATTTAAGTAAAAGAAATAAATGAAATTTTTAAAAAATGAACAATAATAAAATTAAACAATTAGGTCTAATAATATTTCTATTAAAATTTAAAAAAGTTTGAGAAAATAATATTTTAAGTATCACACTCAGTTTTTAATGAGATTAAAGAACATGTCCGATGAATGGAGAAAAAAAATACTCTAATTTCTATATACAAAAACAAGAATAATATTTAAATTTGTATAAACTATAAAAAAATTAAACTTACGAGTTATATTATAAAGTTATATAAAAAATGTGATTAAGCATAGATTATGATATAAAATTAAAATTAAAAAAATAATTTAGTTTTGTGTTAAAAAGATTTATAATAAAAATTATATGTCTTTTATAAATGTTAAGTTAAAATATATTATTGCAAAAAAAATTATATATATTTATTAATTTAAAAAAAGCATATGATTATATATTAAATAAAGTGTTATAAAATCTTTAAAAAAGTAAGACATTTATGTAATATATATTTGAGTTAAGCAAAATATGTATAATGTGTTAACTAAAGGTATGAGAACTTCTAAAAGTAAAGTTAAAGAGTTTCTAATAAGGATAAATTTAAATAAGGTTTAACTTTGAATCTTTATTTGTTTAATTTAATCTTAGATTTTCTTATAAATGAGATAAAAAAATTAATTTTAAGTACATGTTTTTTTGTAAATAACATAGTAGTAGTTAAAAATTCAAAAATAAAAGTTAACATAAAACTTGAATCATAGAAGGAAACTTTAAAATTTAAAAGTTCTTAGAAGATAAAATATATAGGTTGTGAGTTTAGTAAAAAAATAAGATGAGAATCATATGTTGAAAATTAAAATTGAACATGATAATATGTTACAAGCTTCGAAGTACTTATGATCAATTAAAAAAATAAAAAATTAATAAAAATATTACTCATAAAATATAAGTTAAGTAATTAAAATAAAAAAATACATAAAGAGTCAAATTTTTATCAAATTAAAATTGAAATTTTATTATATTACAATATGACTAATTATTCTATACAACAATTACTGTTAGAGTTTAAAAAAACAACAAAAGAAAAAAGTGTAGTGATAAAAATGAATGAATATTAAAGTAGATAACTAATCATACAAAAAATGATAGTATATATAAAAATTTTAAAGTAATATTTATAATGAAAAAGATAATTAAAAATCTTCTAAAGTTATTTAGTACGTGTAGAAAATGCTTTTAAAGACACTGATGAAAAGATTAAATGTTACAACTTTTAGTTTAGTAGATATCTAAATTTTTTTAAAGAAAGTTATTATAAGGTACTTTTTAATAATATATTTAAAATAATTAATTTTTAAATAATTTTAATAACGTGTGATTCATGTAGTCGACATTACATAATAATTTTTTTTATTATTATTGTATTATTTTTTTTCTTAAAAGAGCTAAAAGACAAAAAATAAAAAATTACATAAAATTTATAAAAGAATGGTACAAAAATTAAGTCTATTTTAAGTGAATTTTTAGATAAATTATTATTAGAGAGGAAAATTAATATTAAAATTAAATAAAACATCTCATAAGTTAAAAACAGTTTATCTATAAAGTTTTAGAAAATTTAAATAATTTGTTTAAAAAAAATTAAAAGTTGATAATTTTAAATGAAGGAGCAATTACTTAGAAATATAAATAAATGGGTATAACAGAATATTAAATGATAATTTTAATAAAATTGATAATATCAAATTTATTCATTAATGTATGACAAAACTTTAAAGTGAAAAATAAAATAAAGTAATAAATATTATACGACCAAGAAGAAATAGTATAAAGGGTGTTAATAGATACGAAACAAAAAGGAGGAATTATAAAGATTCTTTGACACAATTGAAACTAATCGGGGCTTGTAAAGGCAAAGTCCAGCTCAAAATGCGACTAAAATTTATTAAAAAACTATAAAAATAAGGTAGATTTATTTTTATCTTAAATTTAATATTTGTTTATAATTTTTAATAAATTTTAATTAAAAATATATTAAAAAATGTATTGATAGCATTCCAATGATTAATATATATCTTGGTCAATAGGGTTGGCGTGGGCCAGAGGGGTACCCTTCGAAAGTCGAGCAATGTACTCAAATGCGTCCTCTGCTGGCAACTGCCCCAAATCGCTACCCATACACTTGTTTACCCTAAAATCCAACCTGTACGTGTCCCCTCTTGCGTCTCCTTAGTCCTCCAATGCATCATTCATCAGATCTTCAATTCATGTTCCTTTATAAAGGCTAGCTATGTCTTTGATTATATGTGTTTCTTCTAAGGTTATAAAATTAAATTTTCTATTTTTTAATAAATATTCTATGTTCTAAAAAATACGATTTAAATTTATTTATATATATATATATATATATATGTATTTGAATAATATTTAACTATTTAAAATTATTATTATTTTATTTTTAAACTAAATGAGTAATGTGATCTCTTTTTTATTTATTTATTATTATTATTATAGTTGTAAGAATTGGATTCAACGTACCAACTGGTCGAAAATTTTATAGGATGTTTGAATTCATAATTGAGTGAACATAAATTCATGCTGACTGTTAATTGCAATTTTTGTTTTCTATTTTTTAATATATTTGCAAACATTAACTGAATATACACTACCTCCTGGATTGCTTTTTGGTTAAAAGCCAAAACTTAAAACTAGCTAGATTGAATGAAGAGTTTTTTTATATAAATAATTTTTATGTCTATCATTTTTAAATATTGCTGATATAATGATATTGTTGTTACTAGTTACTACTACCTTCCCTTTGACATAGGATCTCAGGTTTAGCGCCAAATTTGGTGCCACCGAAAATGCCATGGCACACACGAGAAAGGGTAGGGGCAGAGCTTCCTTTTCAATTTACAGACTGTCCTTTACCACCATTTTTGGACACCAAATCAAATCAAAATGGACACTTTGGTTTCTATTCATCCTCGGTTTGGCATTGGTTTTGTTGCACCAAAACCAAAACCAAAACCAAATCTGTTTCACTTTTCTAACCCACCAAAACAACAGCCATTGGCAAATTAAGCCTTCAAAGTTTTCATCTTTCTTTCACTCCAACATTTACCCTTTTGAGCATCAATGGGGATATTGTATGGAATGGTGGCAAGGGGACAGGTGGTTCTGGCTGAGTTCAGCGCCTCACAGAGTAATGCTAGTGTGGTTGCCAAACAGATACTAAACAAGATCAATGAAGGAAGTAATAACAATGATAGCAATGTTTCCTTTTCCCATGATCTCTATGTTTTTCATGTCAAGAGAACAGATGGCCTCACTGTTCTTTGTATGGCTGATGATGCATTTGGAAGTAAGCTTCCTCTTATTCAATCATTTGGTTAAGAAAATATAAATTAATTATTTTCTGGTGAATCTAATACAATAATTTGGTCCAAATACTTTTACTTTTTGTTTTGGGGTGGGGTGGCTCTAATGAATTGATTCACTTGATGCTTTTATAGATGTTTGGTGCCCCTTAATTTGATGATTTCATTTAATTGTTGAATTATAAATGTTGTCAGAGTGCCTGGAATGTCTCCCTGGCCCTGCACTCATTTCAATCGTGTCTTTTGTTTGACATAGGTGGTTAGTTCACTTAGTTGATTCAAAATTTGACTTTGTGATGAAATTTCCTTTTGGTGGGAAAGGAAAGGAAAGGAAATTGAATACACTTATTAGACAATCTTGGGTATTCTTGTTTGTGGAGTGAGCTTTTTTCGTTTCTTGAAATTCTGTATATGGCAATCCCAAAATTACAGTTTTGTTATGGAAGTGTATATGAGCCTTAAAAATGTCCAATCAAGAATGTGATATGCAAGAGCATAAAATGGAAAACTGTTGGGCACCATGATTCACTCTTACGGGGCCACTTCTGCTAATGCTCGCTCCCTTCTCCTGCCATTCCTTTTTTTGGGAAATTTTGGGAAAGGACAAGCGTATACTTTACTTTTTATATTCACAAGAACTTTTATTGTAGATTTTTCGCATTGATTTGTTGGTAACTTAATTTGTAAAACTTAAAAAGAGATGATACTGATTGCTTTATCTATGGTAATTTAAAGGTGATGTAGTTGGTACTTTGACTAATAACTGATATGTTTAAGGACTGATTTTTCACACCATGCATCTCACTGCTCAAGTTAGTCAGTTTAATGACATTCATTGTTTTTATTTTACCTTGGATGATACTAGTTTTCTATAATTGGTGAAGCTGGAGAGCCTCCAGGTTCTCCACTATAAATGGGAGTACTCACTCCCCTGCATCATGAACATGTAACTTGTTTGAACCGTAAAAGAATACAACTTAAGAGTTTAGACTTCCAATACACTGTATTATGCTACTTATTTTTAAAACTGTTGAAAGCTTTTATTGCAATTGACAATCTAGTTACGATAATGATATGACACTGGCTCAATAATGTAAAATGTTTTACAATGACAACTAGATCACATTTAAACCCAATGAAATATGGGATCAAGTTGGTGAAATTGAAAAAGAATGTAATATGGGATGATGCATATTGCATGGCAACATTTTGCTGGTTGTTACATGACTGAACAACTGAAATAACTTCTGTGACATGTTTATTGGGAAGTAAGAATAAATTATTACAAAATTTTAAGTCAAACTTTTCGCTGTAAAAATATTCCTGCTTGATTTGTTGTACAGTAGAGCTTGCAATTCCTAAAAGAGCTGTAATGAATCTCCTATTTCACTCGCTGCAGGAATGGTCCCTTTTGCATTTCTTGAAGATATTCATAAAAAATTTGTGAAGACATATGGCCGTGCAATTCTTTCAGCTCCTGCCTATGCCATGAACGATGAGTTCTCAAGGGTGTTGAATCAACAGATGGATTATTACTCCAATGACCCAAATGCTGACAGATTGAACCGTCTCAAAGGGGAAATGACTCAGGCAAGTTCAATATATACATTTTCAGATTTATCTGCATGTTGATCCCAACTTGTTTGCTTTGCTCGTCTATAATTGGTTCCCTTATGCAGTTCATGTATAATTTTTTGCTCCAAATGTTTTCTATTAGCCTTGTAGACTGATCCTTTAGCAATTTTTTGGTTGAATAATTTTAATTTACCTTATGATTCTTTTGATTTTGATATATGATAAACTCAAACAAGGAATTGCATAATTTCCTAGTTTTTGTCCTATTAATATTAGCATGTAATACTAAATACTTCAAACATTTGTCATGTGATAATGATAGGTCAGAACAGTGATGATTGACAACATTGAGAAAGTGTTGGAGAGAGGTGGCCGCTTGGAACTGTTGGTAGAGAAAACTTCAGCAATGAACAGCAATTCAATTCGTTTCAAGAGGCAGTCCCGTCGTTATAAAAATAACCTTTGGTGGAGTAATGTTAGGCTAACGTAAGTATGATAATGCTATAAATTGATTTCATGTTTGAGTTAAGTTTATGCATTATGAGAACGAAAGGAAATATATTAGCATTGGACTTTTTCCTGGGTTTTCTTGAATGAGTTATTATTTATTTTTTTCATTTAGTTCCATGTCTTTCCCACTGAACAAAAGGTTTAAACAACACATTAAAGGGTTATTTTATTATGTGCTTTATTCATGAAGCCAGTCAATTTATGGAAATCTCAGGCTTTAAAATTTTCTGTTCTTTCTTACCACTATGGAGTTGCATGATCAAGCTTTTTTTTTTGTCAAAGCATAATCAAGCCTGCTTGAGCATGCATTTTGACCAGCTTTAAGATTATTATAATATGAGCATTGCTAAATGGTACGGATGAATTTAGTACGAAAAAGTGACGAATCCAACTGTTTAAAGTTTATTGGTTAACTAACAGATTAAAAATAATAGAAAAATAAAGTGTTTGATGGAAATCATGGAAGATAATTGTGTAACAGTTTTCGTCGAATTCGTCTCGTATGATTTCGAATTTCTCTTATAGTGTTTAATTTAAATTTGTATATACTATACATGCTTCAGTTCAAACAATTTATTTTTACATTTTTAATTTTAAAAATATTATTTAATGAATTTACCCTCCCTCTCTTTTCGTGCAGGGTTGCACTTATTATAATGTTCGCCGTTATCATTTATGTTATTCTGGTCTTTATCTGCCATGGTCCCTTGTTGGCTGCCTGCTGGAGATAAGCTATGAAGGTTGACTGTGAATTATTTTTGCTCTACTTTTTGACTGTCATTGTATGCTTATTAAGTTATAATGAATATAATGTATTGGGTCAACCAAAAAGGGATATAATGTATTGGGATGCATTCATTTATCAAATGTCACCAGTCTAGGCTTGTGCCTGTTTTAGAAAGTAACTTTGCATGGTGGATGACTGACTCTGCAAGTTACATTACCCTATTGACGATTCAGAAGGAACATTTTGTATTTTTTCTCTCTCCATATTTTCTTTGCATTCATTGCTATTATAATATTCCAAATGTGTCAATTTCATTTTCCCTTTTTCATATTAGTTCCATTCTTAATCATGCATTAAATTCACAAAATAAAAAGCATTAAAGGCGTGTTACCTGTTATAGTTACTCATAACTAAGGCCTTAAACTCGGTCCCGAAGTTTATGATAATACAGAAAAAAATTGTTAGTTGATGAGATACAAAAAGGTGAAATAACTTATGCAACCCATTTAGTAAACTTTTTAGAGATGCATGATTAGAGAAAAGTTACTTAAATTATTTATATAAAAAAATGATGTATTTTCGTGAAACATATAAAAATTATAAACAGAAGTATTAAGCAACTTCAAATTTATGACACAATTTCAATCTGTCCCTTACGTTCCATGTTTCTTCAACTTGTTACTAAGCTTTTAATGGATCTTTGTCCACTACCGTACTGTTTTTATGTTTCGAAGAACTTGTAGCCCAACTAGCACGAGGGGATGTTTAAAGCATGGGCGTAATGTTAACATGGAAATTTTGATTGTTTCAGAAATATTAATAATCACGACAAAAAAAATAATATTAACAATAATCTCTTTGATCATTCGGTAAAGTTTATGTGAAATTGGGGATCCTACTAAGTAATATACACGTCAACCCATTTAATGACTCTCATTTGTTGTTTAGTTAGTGTCAGGCACAAGCGTTCAGGTTCAAGTCTGTGCCACACCCCTTTTTTTGTTTCCGATGTGCATATATGTATTTTACAAGTTTGAATTTTCTATTATTGCTTGTGTATGAACGTGACATTCAATTGGAAATTAGAAAATAAAATACCGAATGCATAGAACATCATGTTTGATATATTATTTAATATTTTATTACTGAATTCATTTGTTTTCTTGTTTCACCAAATAACCTAAATTTGTTCTCTTTTAGTAATTAGTAAAACCAGCATGCAATTTTACTTGAAAATAAAAATGAATACGAAAATATATATATAACATTTCTCTACTGCACAAACTCCTTAATCACCGCAGTCAAACCAAACTTTAATCACCCTTGTTGGGTAAAATTTTCACTATAAAATTTTGAACGTATTATTCAATCATGAGTTAATGAATTTACTTTCACTATTACACTCATCGAAGTTAAATCCAAAAAGTGTTTAATTTTGATCGTACCATAAATTATTTAATCACTTTGACATCTACGTTCTGTGTTAGTGTTACTGATGATCAACTGACACAAACTTTCAAAATACAATAGTAGAAATCCTTGATTTTGTTTGCATTGTACACTCAAACAATGAATGATATTTACCCAATGCCCAACAGTAGCCTTGTACAAACACGAAATGTGTACGTGTGAATATGAATAGAAATACTTCAATTTATACGATTTTGTATTCCCTAAATACAGAACCACAGAGAAGGGGGAAATATTGAACCTTTACACCTTGCTGAATCAAGAAAAGCCTATCTAATTAAAATCATCAACAGTGAGCCAATCATTTGATTCATCTTCTGAATCCTTACCTTTTACACGGATAGCCTTCTGCCGGCCGCCTCTCTCAGAACTTTCATGCAGCTGAACCCAGCTACTAGAACCCTCTGGTGATGAACCCCTGATGTCCCGTGCCTCCTTATAGCTTGAGAATTTATCAGAGCTATCACTCCCATCGTCCTCTAGCTCACTGAATGAGACGTCCTCCTCCTGTTGAAGTTTTGTACCGGAAGTCAATGAAGTTGCATCAATATCTGTATCTTCCCATTTTTCAGAACTAATCATGTCATCAATTTCTAAACCCTTTGCTGCATTTGTAACCTCTGTCAGAATCTGGTTTTGTTCAAATGAGACATTTTCTGTTCCACTGTCCTCCCTAACTTCTTCATATGCTGTATCCACAGTCCTTGGTTTTTCACATTCTTCAGCTTGCAAATTTTTCCTCTCTTCAAGTTTCAGAAGAAGCACATCTCTTGCTTCAACAATCTAACAAAAAGGGAAAAACATATGCATGATATATCAGACATGGAGTAGAATAGATAATATCCACAAATTTATCTTCAATCACATAATTGTTGGATGCCAGAGATTAAACAATCTGAAACTCTTTAGTACAACCAAAACATCTAGAGAGAATGCTATAAAATAAACAAGGGTCACTTCAAAAGCTATTCCCTCATGTATTATATACATCACAAGCTACACTAAAAAAATAAATAAATAGAGGATCACTTCAAGTAACATATAGAAATAGAATAACCATAACTATGCATGTTCAGCATGCAATAATTTGCGGTTTTTGAAAGTTACAAATATCTACCATGAAAACTACAGCTGACATGTTTCATAGAGTACAATGACTGAATCAAGGCCTTGCTATTCAAGTGAATCAATTGAAAATAAGACAATATTGAACAAAAAATGGCTTACTTTGGGGGTTGATAGGCACTCAAAGTCGTGCTGATCTAGTCTTGGAAGTATTAACAAAAAATAGATCATCCAAAACTTTTCCACATTCATGTAACTGCAAAGGTTCAGTCTTAGAGCAACAAATTCAGGCACCAGACGTTCTATAGCCAATGCATGTTCTCTCTGAGAATTGGACATGCTGAAATCTGCTGCAACAAATCAAATTTCCATATTAAAATGTCTGTCAATCTCAACATGTACTCAAGTAGAATAAAAATAAACAAAATGGGTATTGTTTTGGTTTCTCAGACTCATGCTATCTAAAAATTCAAGTTTCAAAACCACTTTTATTCAAAGAACACTTGAATGAGAGTTAAACAAGAGATATGCTCAGAAGCACACAAGCACATAGGATGGACACAAGCTCTTTGAACATCATATTGACTGGGAATGTGAACTAGCTTCCTACAACTCTTTGAAATCAGCATTGCTGAAGGAGCATTGCCGCTTTTGTTCATAATAGAACCTTCCCCCAACAAAATTCTAAAGAGGTTCATTCCCACGAATTACCATATTGGAAGTTAAAATGACATGCATCTCAGGTATCAGACCTCTAATATTTTCTAAATAAAATTGCATTTTGTTCTATAACAGCAAGCCAGCAACAGCATTAAGGTAAATCCCGTCAGAACCCCCGAAATATGTAAGCAAGCAATAGTTAGAATTTTCCAAATTATAGGATGGCATGAGTGAAAAAAAGCTTCAATTCTTTGTAAAAATATTATAAAGTCCCTAAAATTATAGAGAAAAAAATTAACTCGTTAAGGTATTTGAAACTATCGAAACTCATGAGATCTAGCCAATTAGCCACAGACACACGCAGAGAGGCACCACCGTAAACAGCATATATAGAAATATGGTTAAACTAAGAGGAAACACACACACACACACACACACACACACAAAAACTAGCAAAGCAATCGCAAACTCCATCACAATCAGATATTATACGAATTCAATAGCGAAAAGTGAGAATCATAATCAGAACAATTACAAATGATAAAATAATATAGTTATAAATATATTGCATATTGAAGCACACTAGAAATACCATTATTATGGAGTGGCAAAGGGAATTCGGTCCAACACTCAGGCCTTGTAGAAATTTCCTTCACGAAACGAACAACATTTTCCGTAGTCCCTGGCACCGCATCATCGTTACTTCGTCGTTGATCAGGCTCCAATTGCAGCAACTGAGAAGCGAACTTGGAGATTCCGGTGACGGCTTTGTTCGTGGAGAGAAGCGAGAGAGAGCTCTTGAAGCTTCCGCCGATCTCCACCAGATCGTTCCGGATTCCGCTCAGAGTTTGCGAAGGCGAGGAATCACCGGCGGAGGAGGAAGAAGACGGCGGTGGAGCGAGAAAGTTGGCGACGCCGCGGAAAATAAGCGATAAATCGTCCTTGACACCATGACGATCGGCGGCGGCGGGTGGCGGAGTGGCCGGCGGCGAATTGGAGTGGATGACGGTGCGGTGAAGGTGAGAAGATTCTGGGTCAGGGTCGTTGGACTTGAAGAGCCAAGACATTCTCTTTCTCTCTCTACTTTTTTTAATCGCAATTTTATATATCTTTGGAATTAAAGTATTTATGCTATTTTTTTTGCATCAGCTTTGGGGATTCGAAGAAGAACGTAGCTAAGTTGAATTGGAATTGAAAGGGTTTACGGAGAAGAGAACGTGTCAGATAGATGAAGGCTTCAATCTTGGCTTTCCATGATTCATCAAAGAAGGTTTTCAGCTTAGTTAAATTAATCTCGCTTAATATATATTTATATTTATACATATAAAAAAAAATAAATGATAACGAGACAACGGATAATGATGAAAGTAGCCAATTAAAAAATTAATTTTCGAATATTATGAGTAAAGTAATAATATGATACATAAAAAATAAAGTTAAATAGTTAATTATGACATGGAAATTGAAAACTGTAAATCAGAGTAGACGCATTATGAGGCAATTGTCTCTCGTATTCACCGCACAACTACGCTTTCTTCATTGTTCCCTGTTCTTGTTTGTTTGACCCAATGCGTAACCTTCACCCTTATGTCAATTGCAACATTTTTTATTTTTTCATTTTGGGCTACGCACCATTGTTTATATTTTATTGCAATCGCATTCACTTACATTAAAAGCGTTTTCGGGAGACTTTGCTTGAAAAATACACAAAATGTAAAACAATCTAATTTATATCTTTTACTATAGTTAAAACTAGTAATTTTTCTGAGATGGTTGTGTTTGGATTGGATCAAATAATTAAAAAAATTTAAAATTTTTATTATATCAGTTAATTTTTTTAAAATATTTTATTTGAATGGAATAATTGAATTTTCTTTATTTTAAATCTTTTTGTTTGGATAAAGTAATTAAATCACTTACATTTTTTAAAAATAAAATTAATTAAAAATATAAATGAAACACACAATAAATGAAAAAAAAAAATTAAATTTAATGGTATTTTTTTTAGGATTTAAAAATATTTGATTTCAACCTATTAAAAATTCTTAGAATTTTAAATTCTTTAAAATTCAATATTCAAACAAAAAATTTTAACTCATAAAATTAAAAATTATTTCAAAAATTAAATTATTCACTTAAAATACTTCATTCAAACACACTCTAAATATTTACTTTTTATGTAAAAAATAAAATAAGGCTGTTGCATATAAGATTACAACTTCCATTAGTGAACAGGGAGAAATATTTTAATAGGAACAAATTTCTATATTAATTATTTTGAATCAGTTTTAATATGGGTTTACATGGCCATACTGAATAGCTATTTTTTCATGAATTATTTTTTCATGAATTATTGATGACAAAATGAATTTAGCTCTTATATTTGCCCAGACAAAAAAGTACAGCAAACTTGAAAAGCCATTTCATTGATAATTCTCTCTTTGTCGCATTGCATCAATATTTCAGAATAAATAAATGGGACCCCTTTATTTTATTTTGCTTGTTTCTAGAGAGATTTTTTAAGTAACATGGATAAAACTAAAATAATAACCACACAGAAAAATACCAAAATAAAATAGTAAAATACTGATTGATTATAAACCACGAGATTCAAAGGAACATATCCCCAATTACTTATCTAAAATAAAAAAAATAATTACTCTAAATATGTCTATTGTCACATTCATATGTTTATTATTATTCTTTTTAAAGTGATTTTTGTCCAAAATACTTTTTTAAACAGTAAGGGTATTTTTTCTAAAAAATTAAAATTGGAATGACAATATACATTTTTATTACCCTTATTAAAAATGTAAAAAATTAATGGGTCGTTGGATTCATATTAGTTTTTTCTATAAAGAAGAAAAAAAATTTAAAAAAATGGTGTGTAGGTAATCTATTTAATTAAATCAATTTTTATCACACAAAAAATTGCAACATAAATTTGATTATAAAATTTATTAGAATAAATTTAAATAATATTTTAATAAACTACACTAAAAAAGCTTATTAAAACAAATTAAAGATATTAGAATCATAAGTTATTTTCATCTTTTTTTTAAAGCCTTTTAAACATCTTTTAGTTGAACTGATTATCGAATACAATTTTTATTCTATAAGCTATCCTTATTATGACCCTTTTTGTTCATCCTAAAATATTTATTGGCTAGCAGCATTTTTGTGTGTGCATATTTTATCAACAGGTTGTAAATGACATGAATCGTAGTTAATTATTGTTATTACCTTACAAAATTGTTTCATTTAACGTAGTTCATAAATATTGAAATTATAATACTACAAAAAATATTTAAGGCTCACACTTATTTTCTAATTCGTAATTTTTTTATATGATAAGTTTTTCTTATTTTTAATTGAAACAAATATTTCAATTAAAATACCATAATACAATCAAATAAAATCTCCAATAATAATAAAACTATATGTAGACTTTGGGAAGAAATAACTATTGTGCGTCTACACATCTCCCGCATGTAAAAGATCGTATCACGACAAATGAACATGTAACCAATTAGGTTAAATAAACATAATTATGATTGTATTTAATAATTCATTTCAGTTGATTTCTTTATTTGATTAAATTAAATTTTTAATAAATTAACTTATTTCATTAATTTATAATATTTTAAATAAGTTAGTTAAAGTAGTGTTTAAACTAATAATAACAGTATTAGTAATAATAATTTTATTTAATATTACAGTGTTTATTTTAGTTATTGCACTGTTTACATTATGTAATTTTTAATAAAATACTTTTTTTAGACAAAAATGATGGAGTTCAAAATTAACTAGAAAATATAATAAACCAAAAAATACAAATAAAAAATATTAAAAATTATAGAAATATACCTTTTATGTCATTATATATTCATCAACCAATTCAAAATTTAATTTTATTAAATATTTATAATTCAAAAAGCTAATTTACCGACCTTCAACTAATAACTTTCAATTAAAATTAAACTTTCCAATTATCTTATTAACTAATTTTGGCCAAACATGACCTATATACACACATTTACATCACTTTTCAGTAGTTAAACATTAAATTTATTAACCAACAATTTATTTAAAATTAATCAATCAAATGTATTAAACAAATGTAGTATTTAGCCTATGAGATATAATGTGTTTAGAATTATCCAATCCAAAACAAAATATCCTTCCCGAGCCGAAGTGTCGCCTTATCACTTGTCATCGACATTGGGTGGTCAATTTTAAGAAAGCATCGGAGAGAGAGAGCAAAAAGTCTTCGTGTTTTTGGAAAAAGAGAAAAAAAAAATGTTAGCGTGTGTATGTGTGTAAAATCCACCGTTGGATTGGATTCGCCAGCAGTTTTTGAACTATGGACCCAAGTGCTACCTACTAGATAGTATGCAGTAATGAAGTACGCGGTAGAATAGCAACGTCCAATGAACACAGTGCGACCTTATTAATAAAAATAATTCTAAATCTTGCTACAGTTTATTCGTATAAAATCCCACTTAGAAAAAGAGAGATGAAAATTTACGAATGAAACAAGTTTTAGATACCTTAATTTCTAACAAATGAGAAAAAAAAAAAGTGCTACTTCACAATTTCTCCGGGGTTTAATTCACCCTTCGAGAAGAAAAGAAATGAGTACAAATTAAATATCGATAGCAACATCTTACACATGACAATGAAGAAAAATTGCTCCTGACACCAAAATGACTAATTTATCAGAATTGAAGTATTTTCATAAAACAAATTGTATATCACTCACATAATGAATATATACTGGGCACCATGTACAGGGAATGGAAACCGAAAACAATATAATCCAATTTATCAAGAACAAATTTTCTGCTAAAGCGTTAACCGTTATCAATCGGGGATAAAAGAAACTCTAAGCTGTTTGAATCAAAGCTCATTATCAATTACCTTGTACATAAAAAATCATATAATCAAAACCCTCCCTCAGCTAATTATTCAAAAAGAATTTCACTCTAGCTATCTATGGCACACACAACGTATGGTACAAATCTGTCTACTCTTCAAGTTTCCCAATCTCAGAACTGAAAGGTGAGTGTCCATGTTTTGTTTTTCCTTGAGCTTATTATGGATTTTGTTTTCCACAGGAAATGTCTATATGAGGCCTGTATATGGATTGTATGATTGAACAGGCATACCTGAGCCATAGGGGTGTACAGTGGCTCCATAAGAATTTCCAAAAGGATTAACAGATTGTTGTTGAGGGGCCATCATCACCATTTGCTGCTGCTGTTGTTGAAACATGAAAGCCTGTTGCTGGTTGGAGATAGCAGCCATCTGAACAGCAGGCGGAGCAGCCACTGTATTAGAGGCAAAAAATGGATCATGCATTGTTGGTTGCATCATAGACCCCATCGGTGCTGGCTCCCATGGATTATAGCTGACATTTTGGTTGTTTCTCCTTAGTGCATCATCATATAGGCTGTCTAGTGTAAGCTTGTCCAAACCTCCAGCCTGATTACCAAACAGGTCTCACTCATTATCAGAATAACCAAAGTAGCATGCATGCAAAGAGTTTTTGTTTGTGTTTATGCAGAGATATGCATATGAATGTTGAGAGATGGATTTACATTCACTAATTATATGAGCTAACAGAATGCTCAATTTATTGTAGAAGAATGCATACCAGCTTGCTAGCTGTTGTAGCACTCTCATTTGAACTAGGAGCAGTAACAAGTGCCAACTCCCATCCTGTAGTTCCATTTGCTTGATTAGGAACAGCAGAAGGTTGTTGATCAGCTGAAACCATCATTAACAAGACATCATATAAGTTGACACCAAGGCATGCAGTTACATCTATTCTAAATAGGAACTATCAAATGGAGCATTCTAATCTCAACTGCCAACAAAGTGCTGAAAATGGAAAACAATGCGGGAGGAAAATTCACATGATTAGCCAATAACAGAGAGATTTAATCCTAATAATATGGAACATCACTCTTCTTAAAAAGAAAACCAGCTTAGTCCACTTCTATAAACTAATTATTATTGTCAATTATTTTTAAAGGTTCACAAGTGCAGATCAGCAAGCTTTTATTCAATGTATTAGGCAAAAATGGAGGAAAAGGAAAAACAAATTACCAACAGGTACGATGGCTAAAGCTAAGGCATTCTTCTCCTCCAACTCTGAAGCAGCTGGGGCAGGATCCTCCAAATTCTAATTAGCAAGCCAAAAGAGAAATTAGTGCAGCTAAAGCAACGCTCTTATTGGTAAAAAGAAGCATTACTTGTAGAATCAGTCAATAATCCAAATTATACCAAAAACAAGGCTAGTACATGCACACACAAACACAAAATAAAGAGAGCAATTACCAACAAATCAGGTGGTGGTTGCACTGGCGGTGCTTCCACTTTCACAGGTTCAGAAGGTGGAGGTGGAGGTGGTGAGGGTGAGGGGGAACGCTCCTCCTGCTCTTCTGTTGTCTTTTTGTATTCGATAGCCAAAACTTCTTTTGGAGAGGTAATTTTGTTGTCAGCAGCCTGCTTTTAATTAATATGGAAGCACTCATTGGTAAAAACATTTTTTGCTGGATATGAATATTGCATTTCAGTGAGGACAGAAGAAACATGCCGAAGTTAAAGGATTACAACAACACGTGAATACCTAAAACAAATGGAAGGAAAAATAGTATGCAGATGACAACCATCTCCAGCTAAAATACTAATATTACTGTCTCCACAAATATATGAAAGTTAATGTTGAAAAGACAAAAGTATTGTATAAAAAATATAGCACATAAAATCATCACAGGATGTTTCATAAGGTAATGGAAGAGATTCCAAAATGTTTTGATGGGCCAAATAATAGAACTCCTCAAAAAACATGATGGAAACAAGTATAATGTATTAACTTCGAATTTTCAGTATTTACCTACCCGCCCAATTGCAACAATGATTGAACCACCTCTTTTTAAAAGAAAATGTGATCTTCGGTAACAAATGGATCATTGTTTATAACTAGTAGATAGCCAACAGGGTCTTTCCCTGGTTCTGTTTGTGCCTACCGTGTCAACTAGAAGTGCATTAAATAATACACTAGTTCTTTATGATCCATAACATAAAATAGAGTTCCTTGAAGTTCATCCATACCTGATCCTTACGAACTATTTGTCCCTGGGGAGCATCTTTGACATACTCTTCCATAGCTTGCAGAAATGATGAAGGGGGCTTCATATCATCAACTAATTAACTTAGTATATACTTCAGAAAAAATAATGAAAATTCAAGCTAATATGTCATTGGCACAAGCAAGTGATATAATATCCAACTGACCTGCTCAACTTTAACAAACTTCTCTCCACGCCCAATATCAAGATTACGGCATATTTCATAGAACTCTGACAGTCTCTCAGCCTGGATTAAAAATTTTTTTTTCGACATAACTGTCTGGATAGATAAAGTTAAGAACAGAAACAGAAAATTTTGCAAAGAGATACCTGCTGCCCAACCCTCCTGTATATATCAAGAGCTTTCAAAGCATCGTGGCGTTGCATCTCAAAAAACTGTCACAATAATCTCATAAATAAATTGAAAGTTGAACATCAAGCTTCAAATCCATGAACATAACCATATATACCTTATCAACCATGTTGACTGTGCCATCACTAATAGCTTGATAAATTTTAATGCTTTCAGAAGCAACCTATGGAATATTAATTATGTTCAGAAAGGGGGTGAAGCAAACACTACTAAAGAATATAGAATGGTTAATAATTGACCTACCATTGAGAGTGCTAACTGGATGACAAAGTTATTTACAGCTGCCCCATGTGGCTGCACCACAAAAAAGTTAAAACAAGTTGTACAATCATAAAGCTATTGACATTTTAAAATTTGTTCACTACAATCATACCCACCATTTGAGTCAAAATTCAATCTATTTTGATTTTTTTGGATCAACAGCTTACCTGGCAACCAATAACTCGAAAGAGAAGTTGTTGTAAAGCTGGCAACTGCTCAAGCAATTCTGCAGTATCCAAATCTTTGGTTCTCTGTTACAAAATTCACAATTGGTGAATTTTCTGTAGTCAAAAGTAAGTGTGTGATGAGATAGCAAAGACAGATGAGACTTTCGTGTGTCATATTATTATTATCAACTAATATTAATTAATAAACAACATTCAAATAATTCCATTACTAATACTGGAAGTAAAAAATCTGTATTCGTACACAGTAAGTTTATAAAAATGATTGAAGGAAATTACTTACAGGGCGGTCTGCCTCAATATCATACTTCAGCACACGAAAACATTCCAGCCTTTCCTCCAAAAACAAAGCATAAGTGCGTACCCATGCAGAATAATCCCATGCTGAGCAATAAAACAATGAATGACAGCTACAAAGTCAATAGACATAATCAAAAAAAGATAGTAGAATAAAAAATGAAAGACAGAGACACCATTTGGACTGGAATCATCTTTAAAATGAGCCATGTTGAGCATATGACTTCTACTTCTTCCATAATTAATGAGTTCTTCATGAAATGTAGGATCCACTTCCCTCAGAGCACGGTGAATAACAATTAAAGTTTTCAATGCAACCTAAAGGTAAACCACTTGTCAATCAACTAAACAGATGAAGCGTAAATAGATGCACACACACATGCTCAGTGGTCATTTACACAAGCAAATATAGTGCACATAAATATTGTAGCTTCAGAACCTGATCAAATGATCTCATTTTTTCAATAATACTAATACTCAAGAAAAACATTGTTGGTGGACTTCTGTTAATAGTGTTATCCATATATTTCTATTCGTCCCACTTTTATTTGGCCATAAGGTCACGAGTGATGATCATGCCACAATCTCCAGAAGTGAGGACGCATAACAATGCATGAATACGACTTAAAATGTAATGTTGCATCAACATTGGCAAAAAAGAATATAGACCAACAGATAATTAAATCGTACAAGTTGCATCACACTGAAAAAAAATTGATGTCCATGTAAAAAAATGATAATATTAACTTCAGATCACAGAGATAATCAACCCACAACCCCATTTTGCACAAGATCTATGACAAGATGTACATACTGCCCAGTTATGTGTCTTTGATAATCGCCTGGCAAGAGCATGGATGCAATAGGCAACATCAGCCCTAGGTCTTGTAGCTGAGATAGCCGAAAATATAGCTGCAACAGAGAGCATAGAAACACTTGGAATCAAAACCCTAACTTATCCAACAATTGTTCCTCCTACAATCTACAAACATGTAACAAACAAATAGCGGAAGCAAAAAATAAACAGCAAAAACAAAGAGAGTGAAATAACAAACCTCTTATATGTTTTTCCTTAGCTGGTCGTTCAACATGATTCGTGGCTCTAACTATAGCAATGTCCAATTCCTGCAATACATTAAATCCATTGGTAACAGAGACATAACACATGATCCCATCCAACAGAGTGTATGTACAAATTATTCTACCTTGTAATCACTGTTGACCTTAGCTAATGACACTGTTGTGGTGTCCTTAAGGGCTCCAAGTGCTTTTCTGAAACTTTTCTGCGTGCCACCCGACATTCTCTCCCTCGTTCAATCACAAAACTCTGCCACAACTCAAAAAATAAGATCTCGGTTATTTCCAAATCCCACTCTTTTCGTTCTAACCAACTAACCTAAAATCAAAAACAGTTTTTACTTTTTTTAATTATATTTTCTTTTTTTCTTTTTACTTAAAAAAGAATAATAATTAATTAGTGTAAGTAATGAATATCTCTTAAATTAAACTCGATATCCCTGTATTCAGATCCAACTAAGGAAACAACCCTCACCGACACTAACAAACCCCCCAAGTTCAGAATAACATCCAGAAACAGACTTCAAAATTGACAATAATAATCGAACGTGCTTCTAAATTAAACCAGTAAAGCGAAAAAGAACTGAGACACAACGAGCAAACACGGCCTTAAAATTAATTAAAAAAAAAGAAGAAGAAGTAACGCATTGTTGAGAAATGATGTGCTCACAGAATTTTGCAGGAAGCGAATCGAATAAAAGTGAAGAAGAAGAAGAAGAAGAAGAAGAAGCCCAAGTAGAAGAGTTGCTTCAGAGACACAAAAGCAAAAGCACGATCTACGACTAGAACTGGATTTGGCTGAAGCTGAAGCTGAATCGAAGAGAGAGAGAGAGAGAGAGAGAGAAAAGTCGACAAACAATATGAGCTTCGTTTGGTTGGTCGTCGGCGTCTCTGACGCTAATTTTAATTTGATTAAAATGTTGCTGTTGTTGTTGGAATAAAGAAAAACAAACCCATAAGAAAATGAAATTAAAAATCAGCACATTTTTCGCTTAATCTATGTGTCAGAAATACGGTATTGTAAGAAGTTGTACTGCTCCGTGGTTAAATTGGGATTTGATCCCCTGCTTTTGTCTCTACTTTCGCTATTCTTGGTCTCTTCTGCCACCTCACCATTTCCAACAATGCCTCCACCCTTTTACCCCTTTTTTTTACTCTCCATAATTCTTTAGGAATTAGTATATTGTATATTATATTACATTTATAAAATGTATCCGGTATTTAATTTAATAACTAAACTAGTAAATATCAATAGTTGAATTCACTTTTTTCTTGTTGATTTTGTAAAATAGTTCGTTTTCATATAAATATGCAAATGCCTGATTAAGAAAAAAAAGAATTGATTGTTGATTTATACGGAAAATATGGAATCATGTCTTGATTATTTTTAGAATATTTTAGATGATTTTATTATTTTGATTTCCTTTTTTTTTTTTTATGTATAATAACACTATTATTTTTAACCTTTTTTTTTCCCATCTTTCTTTCTTCTTATTTTGAACAATCATTAGTTAAACATCCAAACAATACTTTGGATTCTTACCAAAGGATCCTTAAATTTTGGGAGCTCTAGTAGGGATCGAAGAACAGCAATTATATGAATTATTGCTATTTGATAACCCAAAACTCGATATCTAGTTGAAGCTACTTTTCAACTTTTTGGAACCTCTCAACAAATATGTTTTTAATCTTTGAGATTGACTTCTAATTGGAGGATAATAAAACTATACCTATAACGTTTTACTTTAGTAATTTTACTGTTTCAGAATTGGAATATTTCACTAATAATTTTAATTCATTTTTTTAAAAAAATTGGGGGTGTAAAATTATAGTTTAAATCGAATTACAATTTTATTAGTTGCATAATATATAAAATAATTAACTTTAAATCATAAAAAAAATACATGTTTAGATCACTACCAATGCTATTTACAATAGAACTAAGAACTTGATCGACCTGTTTGTTTACGTTTTCTGATAGGGTCAGAGTTTATAAAAATATGTCTCTAGTTCGTGATGGACAAAGAAAATTGTTGGCCGTAACATGGCCAAAAACGCGCTAGCGATGATGGCAATTAAAGAATACCGACAATGAAAATGACCAGAGGATGCTAATGAAAACAGTGATCAAAGAATGCAAGCTAAGACAATGATTAAGGAAGATGTTGCATGGCGACAATGGTAATAAGAGGAAATCAATATTATATATTGCTAGAAGTAAGAAAATGTTTTATGCAGTGTTAAGAGTAGACACTTAAAAGGTGTCTCTTTTGATTGTAAAATTAATGCATATATAAAAAGTATTATATATATTGTCAATTTTTATTGATTTAAATAACTTTTTTAAATATGCATGCATGTGGGGAAAAAAAAAGAATTGCCAATAGCTGCTAACCTGAACTGGTAAAGGCTATATGGACATTGATCATCCCACTGAGAACCCATGACTTAATTTGGTGAATCCTTTATAAAGCCAACCCAATCTGCAAGCAGCTCTCTAACTTATTTAGGTAAGAAGAGAATAATAGCATTATCTATGCACTAAGAATCCACGAATGGGTCAAATTAAACTTGTAGAGTTTGTGACCCTGTCATGTCTTTGCTTGAGGATTGATGATGAGATCATTTCCTTTGAGGAATGGTTTAATAAGATATTGTTTAAGGCTGAATCTGAGGCAATGGAATTCCACAAACATATATATGTTTCTAAAATAAATCCCAACAATTTCTTAATTGAAAAGGAACTGAAAATCCAATCAAAATTGAAAATTGCAAGTGGCTGGATTGATAAATCTCCTAACCAACCACCCAATAATCAAACATGTCACAGCCAACCTTCCATTATGGGGACAGTTAAACTCATTTTTGATGGCACGGATTAACAAAACGGTTGATGTGGTGAAAGCATAGTGTTGGTGGGGACTTTGATGTACAAATTCTGGCAGTGGCAACTTGGATTCTTCCTCATCGCTTGGAACCGGTGATCGTAAAAGGACTGCATCAATCTTCAACCTTCCTGTTGACTTATGTTTCCAAGATTTGGTATTTGAAGAGGTAATGGCTTTAAGGTTATGTTTTGGGAATATAATTTAATGAAGCATTTATTTAATATAAAGATTTATTTTATAAATTTAATTATGGTTTTTTAAAAATTATTCTGATAAATTATATCAAAAATTTATGAAAATAAGACTCAAAGATTAATCTAAACTATAAATTATTCATCTCCTTTTAATTAAAACTTAGCTCAAAGTTAAAAAGTCATTTTGTAGTTAAATGTTGTTAAGTTGGCTTGTTTAATTAAAATAAATTAATAAGGATTCTACAATAAAAGTTGTTAAGTTGTATTAAATGAAATAAAACTATAATCTAGCATTTTACAATAAATTAGCAATATTGTTATAAACAAATAATTTATTACACTAATAAGGATAAATTTAGAAAAAAAAACACAACAAACTACAAGTTCAAACATTATTTCATTTATTATTTTTTTAAATAAAGGTTAGTGAGATAAAATCATTTAGTAAAAACTTTTATTTTAATCAAATAAACTACAAACTTACAAACTATTTCAGTTTTATAAGTTCAAATATTTCTATTCTATATCAACACTACATTTAAATTTTTTGGATGTGTCGACAATTTTTAAATTGGTTTAGTTTTATAATAAACGTCTTAACTCTAATTATAAAATATGAGTTAATTAAATTTCAAGCTTCATTTTTTTATTTTGGTCGTGCATATATAAAAGATATGTACTCGTTTAATTTACCTTAAAAAAACAACACTGATGTATTATAAGTTTTAAATTGATAATTTTATCTTTGTTAATTATATCATTCAACATATTTCTAGATAGTATTTGGCCTCCTTTTTTTAGATTAAAAATTATATAAAAGGTAAATTTAAAAGTAAAAGCTTTAAATTTAAAGTTACAATTGTTTGTTAATTTTATAGTTTTTTAAACCTAAAATGTTATCTTGAAGTTAAATCTTTTAAAGTATTGTATCCTTGGTTCTTGATATTAAATAAACCCAAACTTCCTATACTTATTTTTCTAAAAGAGACATTTTTTTGAAAAGGTTTTTCTAATTAAAAATCTACATTTTTTTTTAAAATTCATTTTCTTAGAATTTGTTAGACTTAATTTCTCTTTTTTAAGAAGAGAAGCTCAAAATAAATTAATCCAAATACTATTTCAAGCAAAAATAATTAAGTACACTTTTGATATAAGGAAATATAATTTCTATTATTTAATAAATAATTTCACACAAAATTAGATTTCAGTCCTATTCTAGTTGAGAATCTACACAAATTTGTATTGTAGTAAGCAGCTTCGGCTTGACCCCTGTCTGTAACCAAAGAAATCTACACAAATTTGATTAATAAATTATACTTAATAAATTACACTTTTAATTTTTATAATAAATATTGTGTGATTTTGACTTCTCAATGTCCTTTTTTCCCCTTCAAATTACTATGATAAAATCCTTGACCAAAATCAAGTCATTCCAACAACTTCTCTGTTTAAGACTCTTTAAGAAAGAAAATCCACGAATTAAACATATTAGCCCAAGACTTGATTGTAATGAAAGATTTGATTGTTATAATTAAATTATAATAAATTATGAAAAATAAAAAAATACGTTAAATGTTTAAAAGAAATAAAAACATAACTAAGCCATTGAGTTTTTAAAAAAAACTGATGATTTTATCCATTTTACCCGATTATTGAATTTAGCGTTACCTTGAGTGAGTTATGGTCCAAAACAATTAGGAAAAAGTGGCAGTAAAAACTGTTAACATGTGGGTATTGTGATTACCTTTTATTAATGAGTTTTTAATTTTTTATAATAATATTTTTTTCTTTTCACTATATTATTTATTGTATAACCTGTTTTTCTCTCTTCTTTTTCTATTTCTTTTCAATTTATGAAAAAAACCATAGAAATTTATTATACAAATAATATTTGTATTTACTAATTCTATATGGTATGGAAGGGATAGTTTGAGAAAAGAGAGGGCAATTTTGAGTTTCTGAAACAGTAAATATCTTTGGGATTACTCTATGGTGACTGGGTTTGTCTTGATCTTAGATTAGAAATGGAAGTTGCTTAGGAACAATTAAATCTCACTAATTAAGTTACAAGAGTAAATCACTACACGTTTTAGCTATAAATGACATTAATAACGTGATTAATAATAATAAGTTAAAAGGTTAGAAAGCCCTTTAAATAAATAAATAAAAAACTAAATCAAGTTTGTTGAAGTCTCGAAATTCTAAGCTTGAGCAGGGTTGACTGATTTTGAAATTCGGGAAAAAATATTTTTTATTTTGTTTTTTTAGAAATTTAAAAAAATTGAGAAAAAACGAAAAGAAGGAAATTAATAAAAAGTATTTAATTTAAACGAATTTAAAACTAAATTTAAGAGAGTTTATAAAACTTTATCTTTTCATTTAAATTTTTTTAAATAAAAATTATTATTACATATTTTTCATTTATTTTCTTTCGAAAACTATCTTCAGATGAAGCTTTAGCATTCTTAGAACGAAGATATTAAAGTAAAAATAATATATATTTTTAAAAATTAAATGTAATTTTATATAAATATTTCATATCTTTTATATTTTTAATAAATTTTATATTCAATAAATAAAAATTAAATCCATTTTATCATTCAAAACAACAAATATATTTAATTTTTACTAAATAATAAAATGATAATGAAAAGTATTTTATATCTTTTCGCTATTTGACCAATGAAATGTTTTTAGTTACAATAATTAAGTAAGTAATTTAGTTTTAAGATACAATATTATTTTTTTTTCATAAAAAAGTGAGAATATTATAAAAGCTACAAAAATATAATTGAATAAATATTAAGGTGCAAATATAGGTCATTGACCGTGTTCATATTCTAAACAAATACTAATAAAATATTTTAAAAATAGTTGAAGTAAGTTTATTATTAATAATAAAAAAGGAAAGCGTATCCACACTTAAAAAAGAAAAGTTATGGAGGCATGCTTTTTAAAATACAAACTTTTTCGTTTTCCCTGTTTAAATGAGACTATAAAATCACATTCTTTAAAAAAAGAAGAAAAAAAAAACTGTAGCCACACCTTTTTTTGCTTTTAACGAAAGTGGCTTTGGCGATAAACTTTTGAATTCACAGAGAATTCATCCTTTCAAAACAATTTCATGCATTATTGTGAATTTTGATTGTATCAAATGAGACTCCTATCCCTCTGCGGAATATAACAGTTAATATCAATAATTTAATTTTACATAAACGATTACATATAATAGTTTATCTAAACATCATTATAATGACATTTTGTATGATAGTTTATAATTTACTTAAAATTATTATATTTTTACACTTACCTTATTTTACATTTATATTTTTTCTCTTATTTCATGCATTATATAATTTTTATTTTCTATCTTTTTCTCCTCTCTCTCTCTCTCTCTTTCTCTCCCTAATTCCCACTCGTTGGTTGGATGTGAAGTGATGATTACTGAACTTGCCAATTATGGAAGAATCAATGTAACCCCACTGCTACTGCTACCTGTTTGAATATTATATTTGTTAAGATATTCCTTTCAACTCCATTGACTTCTGATTTTAGAACATCCAACCACGATGCTCTGTTCATCCACAATAACACATATCTACGCACCCCTTCATGCAATCACATGGGATATTTAATATTACTTCCCTTCCTTAAAACCACAATTAAGAAAAGAGACAATTAATTGGCACTGATCTATCTAATAATGTACATTACAAGAGAAAGATACAAAAACAATTGCAATATGACCGATCATTATTTATGGGTGATTTATTTTATGTTTTTTAATTCCATGTAATATGACATTTTTCATATTGATAAATAGGATTCAAAACCTATAAAACTAATTTGAAGTTTTTTTTAACCTATGAATAGACAACACGTTTGATTTGTAAGGCTTTTGTGAATACCATTTTGTAGCATTCAACAATTTTTTAAATAATGATCCAGGGCCATCCTATTAACAATAACATTAAAAATTGGTGCGAAGTTCCTATCTATTTAAAGAATAATAATCCACTTTAAAATGTGCAATAAGATCTTACTTAAATGAATGGATTTTATCTTTATGAGAAAAAAAGTTTATAAATAGTTATTCACACTGAAATTTTTAAATTTAAATACTGTAATCACCCAATTTTATTAGAAAATTTTTTCTATAAACGTTATTTTCTTTTGTTCTTAAAATCTGAATTATCAGCAAAATATTGTGTTCAGAGTTGCAGGTCAGTAGAGTCGGTAGGTTGTGCAGCTAATATGTGATGGGTGCAAGAAGGGTATTCGGTAGTTCTTTTGTGTTCATGTGTCAACGATTAGCCACGTGAATATGGAAAGTGAACCAACTAGCAAGAACTTCAAACCTTGTCCCTGTTAAATTGTTAATTCTTTATTTGTTTTTGGTATATACAACTCAATTTTGCTAACGATACGTAATAAGAATTAATGTATAATAAATTTTTATTAGATATTATAGAATATTATAAATTTTAATATATTAATAATATTACATATTATAATTTTTAATAAAAACATTATTTTTTATTTTTTATTACATGTCAGACACGCATTAAAAAAACTGTATGAAATTTTAAGAGTCAATGATGCTTCATTTGAAAGAAAGAAAAATAACTGAGCTTAAAGTTTACAAGGAACTTATATTTATTTTATTCTTGAAAAATAGTACAACATCGAACTTTTAAACTGTTGCTGAAAATCCTATCATATTCTACTTGATCTACCCCTTAAGTTTGTCCCAATCAATCCAAACGTTGATTATATTTTATAAATATAATTATACATTTTTATCATGTTATCGCTACCCACAAAAAGGAGTATAAGATTGAATAGAAAAATATAATACGTCTTGTTTACTCCAAATCTTGTTATGCCGAAAGATCGATGTATTCTTTATGATAGAATAAAATGTAGAATAACGTTTATGGTAACCTTCGGATTCATCCATGTTATTTGGAGGATACTGAGGGCGAAAAGTTTCGTCTTTTCTGAAATTTGCATGTCATGTATGGTCTTCTTTCATCGTTTGCATCCTTGCTGCCAACCAAGAAAAGACACGGCTGCGTTTAGCCATGGTTTCTTCTGTCAAGAAACACTTTTTGTTGTCATTCACAGTCTGAAGTATCTTCGTGATGGTCAAAGAATACATCATCATTCATCAAGGTATCTTAAGATAGCCGTGTTCTTTGTAACTTGTAACCAAACATCATTCCTCAACTGCTCTTTGACAACCTACTAATGAGAATTTTTGTTTTGCAACCCCCCCAACCCCTTTTCTCAAAATTCTGAAAAAAAAATTAATTTTTCAATTTATGAGACACCTTTCTGGAATTAAAATTCTGACATGTATTATACTCTTCTAGAATTTAACTTGGATGACCCATCATCATTTTTTAATGTTTAGGTTGACTGACAAATCTACCTAATCCCCCGCTAGAAATGTGGTTCAATGCTTTGTGAAAATATCTTGCTAGTGACATGCTAATTTGAGACCTTTGCATGTTCAAATTTGGGTGGCTGACCAGAAGATGTGATTAGCTATCAATTATTAAGACTCGTTCAAAATGGTAAACTAAATAGGAATCTACGACTATGCCCCTGCATACCCATGTGACTAAGAGTCCATTATATTTAGATTTCAGCCAACAGAACCGAAGCACCAGATTGCAAATTCTGTCTCTTTCAGGCTAAAAATAATAGGTATACTTTTAAAACATTAAACAAGTTTTTAAAAAATTAAAAAAGTTAATTTTTTTCATAAACTAAAACAATACTATATCATAAAAACAGTTTTTTCAAAACTTATTTAAATACATTCTAGACATAACGCCGATGCCTATTATTTCAACCAACACTCCAAAGCAGTAAAGGAGCTTGATTCCTCTTGAGCAATGTCTTGAGTTCAAGTCTTGTGAATGAAAATAATTGAAACGAGAAAAACTATAACAGTTAAAATGGATTAACTTGAGTCAATCTGAACTACTGAGAACCCAATGTAACTTCCTAATGTTGAGGGTAAACAAAAAAAAATCATCATCTAAGTATAATGCTTCGAGTAGTATGCCCTTACAAATTACAAGAGTGAAGCAAGTAGGAAGCACTGCAATTTCAGCTTAAAAAAGTAGCCCAAGTGACAAAAAAAAAGTTTTTGGGTGCAGCTATGGAAGCTATAAATATTTTTTTTATTTCTTTCTCATAAAAAAATTACAATTTCAATCTAATATACGAACCGCAAAATTTGTTTGAATAAATACTAGTGTTACAACTGCTAATGGCACAACCCATTTGCTTCTAACACCCTATAACATGTTTCAAAATTGGTTGAATCTATATTCAGGATCTCTTGACAATAGCAGTAGCAAAGAAGGGATGGTGGCAGAATGTAAAAGAAATCTTCAACTTTGGGTCAAGGGCTCCTACCCGGCAAACATTCAAGGCAATGCTGTTGCGCTCTGCTACTTGCTCTACTCTGCGCAGCTCAGCCATGGCGTCAGGGTCATTGGCAAAACTACTTTTCACCTCTTTTGCAATCCTCTGAGCTTCCTTGAAGTAATCACATATAGCCAGGGTCTGAAGAAGAAATAAACAAGTAAAAGTCTGTCTCTAAAAGCAACGCCACCTAATGATTTTCAAAAGAATACTCACAGAGAAGTTAGCATGGATAGTTGACTCCTTGTATGTCACATATGAAATGTGATCAGGAACACAAGCTTTCTGTAAAAGCTCGAATTGCTGAATAAATATCTGGAGAAAAGCCCATTCGTGAATTAAGTTGCAAAAAAGCTTGATTAAAAGAATGCATACTTAGGTAATCTGTAGTGCCCATTGTTATTGATTTGTTTGGGGTTAACCATACACATCCATCTTGAGCTACATATACAAGTTATTGTTAAGTATCAATAAGATACAGTTTATTAAATCTTTGTGGATCTTTTAGATGCTTGATTCGCAAAATGTACCTGGATACCACCATATTAGAACTCTAAATGCAGTTCAGACAATTTATTGAACGTTTGTCCTTAATTTCCAGCAAACCTATACTAACATATCCTAAATTATCTTTTCTTATCAACATGACAAGTGCATGTGTATTCAGGCAACAATTAATTAATTATCTATAAGATATATTTGCTTCATTCCAGCCTTAGCAATGTAATCATGTGGACCATGACACCATAATGATGTTAGGGGAATAATTCATTGCTGGTTCCAAAAGACAAAAGGAGGATTGGGTCCCACTTGAAAGGATTTATCATTGGAATTAATTTAGTGGAGTTTGATTAATACATGCCAAAATGAGACAAGTAAAAAACGCCTGAAAACAATCAGCCAATCGAAATTATTGCCATCAGGATAACCTTTATTATATTAAATATTAACAGTTCCTTTGTGGATGCAATTTTAGCCCTTGGACTTCAAAAAACTTTTCGAACAATATATGTTTGGCACTTAATTTTAAAAACTAAAATTCAGTGCTACATTTTAGTTTCACTGAAGACACCCTCAGCAATGTTTTAAAAGTTTTTAATACATTAGAAAGTCATATGTGGTGAAACAGAAAACTTTACCTCGTGTTCTGTATTGAAAGGGCTTTGCAGTTGAACAATTCTGTGCTCATTCCTCAAAGCAGCAAACATCTAGAAAAATAGAAAAATGATAAATACACAGTACAAGTAAATTGTCATATACATGTAGTCAATATAACCATGTTAATTTAGAAGAGAAAGACTTCAATTTGAAAAAATAGGGTACTCAGTTTTCAACTACAAACTATTAACTTCTAGAACCAACAGATCTAGGAGGAAAATTTCAAGCCATTCATGGCTAAAAAGTTAAGAAAACATATGCAGTATTACCATGCTTAGCCCTTCAGCTAGATATATTTGGCTCTGAAGAAACAAGACAGCTGCTGGAATCTGATAATCCATTTCTGCATCCTTAAAAGCATCCTTTTTTTTCTTTGCCTTTTTCTTAGCTGATCAATAGGAAGCATAGATACACATCAATGTCAGGGGCACAGAGTCAACACAAGCTTTGTCTTTTTTCTTATAACTAATGTACTATTATAAGTCCACCTATGATCCCATAACTGGGTAAACAATGAGGGTTGTATTAGGCCTTCAGCATCCATCGTAAAACTTGTCAATACTTATACATGGATCACTCATGACGATATTGTATTAGGACTAAGTTGTTACTTGAAGTAATGTGCTGTATGGTTTGAGTATAGTGTCAAATGAGCTAAAGTTGCTACATCAATGCCTAAATGTAATGTTAAATGCAAAAGTCTTCTGATTAGGTTGGACGAATGAGGATAAAGAAGTTAGTTTAGGAGTACTTGATTAAGTTTGGTTCATGAGATATTAGTACTTTGACAAAAAAGTCTTTGAAAGTGGTGAACATTGTGATTTGTAGAAATATCATATCATGTGCCCTAAAGAAATAAAATGGGTTGGAAAAAGAACGGAGTATGCATCATTGTCGATAATACTTGAAAAAATAATATAATAGAGATTAAAAAGATTGGAAATAGAATTACATCTTCAAAGTTATTAATTTGCCCAAGCTATTACTAATATCATTAATGCTAATGCTCCACAAGTTGACCCAAAAATTCTTTTGAAAATTTTTTTTGGGAGGATTTTAAATATTTGTTCAAGGCATTCTACAAGCTAAAAGGAATTTTAAAAGTGAAAACTTAAATAGTCATGTTAATTGTGAGACAAGACAATTTACAAGAATTCATGATTATTTTAATTTTAGAGTTAAATAAGAAAAGACAATTTAACCTTAATTTCTTAATAGCATATGACTTCAGGATTATGAAACCTCTTTTAAGAAGTTGGAGTCATTTATAAGAGTGGGATCTCAAGTCGATTTTTTTTAATAAATAGTCTAGATAAAAAAATTTATAAGAATTTCAAAGTGATTCCAGGAGAGAGTTTAACTATACAACATAGGGTTTTGGTAATTAATGTTTGTTTTAAGTTTGATAAAGAGAGAACTCAGTAAGTTATGGAGCCAAGAATCAAGTAATAGCTTACTTAAAGGATGATAACCAATTGACTTTTAAAATACAGTTCCCAGAAGAAAGTAACTGAAAAGTAGAAGGTAATGCCAACATCATTCAGGACGATGTGTCTACGAAGGCTGGGAAAGTTGCTAGGTTTTAAGGCAAAAGATAAGGAATCTTAATGGTGAAATAGAAGTGAACAAAAATAAAAGTGTTGTAAAGCTTTGCATGTGTGCAATAGTATAGAAAATTGAGCATAATATCAAAAAGCAAGAAATGAGACAAGATTGTGATTTTGAAACAATTAAGATTTTTTAGAAGTTCTATCAAGATCTTGAGGTCAAGAATAACAAAAGAAATATATATAAGCTTGTCAAAAATAGGAAAAAAATTCAAAGTTTGGATCAAGTTAGATGTGTCAACAATGAAAAAGGAAAAATTCATTTACAAATTAAGACATCAAAGAGATTAAAAAGAAGTTATAATTCAAGTTGTAAAAGTAAAATTAATTTTCAAGTGGACGGGTTATAATAAAGCAGTCAGCCCTAAAAGTATTCCTATTGAGGTTTGAAAATATATAAGAAAACAAGAAATTGGTTAGTTTACTTTAGGGCATGTTTAGTTTTTGAAAATGTTTTTTTTCACACTTCTAATTACAAAATTGTCACCTTATTTTTAATTTGTTTCTTGTTTTTCAAGATTTGCACAAGAAATACTAAAAATAGAAAAAGAATTATTTTCAATGTTTCCTGGACAAATATTTTTAATCAAATTTTGATATCTGAAAAGATACAAGTATAAGAGTAATTTGGTCCCATTATATAGATAAAACTTAATAGTCACGTTATGAAGTTGAGACAAGATGATTGATCAAAGAAGACACTGAGATTGCAGAAAATTAATATGATTTTATGTCAAAAAGATTTACAATAAAACTATTATGAAAGTTGATGACAAAATAGAAAAAATATTTATATATAATTTTTATTAATTGAAAAAAGCCATATGACCATATATATCAAGAGACGTTGTAAAAGGTTTTAAAAAGGAAAAAGACTTATGTAACATATATTCAAATGATACAAGACATGTATGATATGTTAATTACAAGTATAAAAACTCTTGGAGACATATTTAAAGACTTCTCTATATGAATAGTTTTACATTAAAGCTTTATTTTGAATCCTTATTTATTTAACCTAGTCTTAAATGTGCTTATTAATAATAAACAAAAAATTATCTATAAGTTTATGCTCGTTGCGGAGGCCAATCTTGGTTAAGAATCAAAAGAATAGGTCAATTCAAACTAAAGCTTTTGAAGAATATTTTGGATTTAAAGATTTTTGCTTGAATAGAAGTAAAACAAAATATATGCATTGTAATTTTAACAAGAAACAAAATAATAATCATGAGTTAGAAATTAAAATTGAAAATGAAGTAATACCATAGGTTTTCGAGTATAGGTACCTGGGACAATTCTATAGAATAATTCAAAAATTAATGAAAATCTCATTCATAAAATACAAATTAAATAGTTAAAGTGAAAAAAGATATTAAGAGTTATTTGCAATTGTAAGTATACATCTGACTGAAAGAAAACTTTTATTATGCTATTATATGATTAACTATCTTATATAATAGTAAATGTTAGGTTTTAATAGAACAACATGAAAAAAAAAATAAGAATGTCAAAATGAATGGATAGTCAAGTAATAAAGGACAAGAAAAGAAATTTTTGTATACACAAGAATATTGGAGTAACACTTATTGTAAAAAAAAAATGACAAAATTGATTAAGGTGGTTTGGATATCTACAAAGACCATTGAAAGTATCAAGGAAGAGAATAGATCACATGACTTTTAATCTAGTTAAAAGAGACGGGAAGATCCAAAAACACTTTGAAAAAGAAATTATTAAAAGAATTTAATGATAAATATCTCAAAAAGATTAGATTTTAATCATGCTCAATTGCATTTGTGATTTATATAATCAACCTTATTTAATAGGATAAGACTTGATTATTATTGTACATTAAATGTATTATTATAAAATAAAATTACTTAATCATACTGTTGTGAAAATCATCAAATAGTTGGCAAAAATAAAGTAGAGCATTCCCTCTCACACAAATGAATCACTCTTCTTAATGATTAAGTACATACCTGCATCACTGCTCATTGCCATTCGAAGATGTTTCTTCTCCGCAAGCTTGATCAGCACAGCATAAATATACCAGTATACCATGCAATAATCATGGATGGAGTAGAGTTCCAATTCAAATCCCAAATTGAGAAATCGAAAAGCTATCCAATAAGTTTGCTCTTCCACCCACGCTAGAATGTGTTGGTATATTTTGAAACATATTTTCTGCTAGAACAGAGAAATATTATAAATTAGGCTGACAAATTATAGTTCAACGACACTGATAACAGCTAATAGACAATCAACCAATTTGTGCCAACAGAAAGCACATGTGATGCAACACTCATCAGAAAACTCACTTCACTTGAGGTTAATATTACTTCTCATTTCTCAAAGGCATGTGAAAACTAATTTTTCAAGGACCACCAGTTCCAGCTAGACAATTGGTAAACTGACAAGTAACAAACCTTATTGTTTGAAATTTTTGAGGATTCTTCAAACTCCTTTTTGAGAGCCATCTCCAGCTGTAGAGTAAAGCAAGACTAGATTAACAGATTGGCTTTAAATGAATTTCTGAGCAATCATAAAATATATCTATTTACATTAACTACAGAAGCATAATCCTACACCAAATGCTGGGATATCTTGACCATTTGATCTCGTCCCCTACACCAAATTTCTACTATATTGCTTTACATTTTCTACCAAATTTCTACTTTCCTGCTGTCAAATAGGAAAAACAAACACTAGTAACATGAAAGAATCAAAAGGAGACACATTGATGCTATTCAAATTACCCCCCCCCCCCCAAAAAAAAAAAAAAAAACTAAACTAAAACTCAGAATCAGAATAAGATAATGCCAATTTTTTAAAAAAAAAATCTATTTTCTCAAAATTATAATTTCAAACAAAGAAGAATAAGAATTAAGAAGCATTCAAGAAAATCTTCCAAAAGTCTAACTTAAATTCTTAAAAGCATAAGCTACGTTATATGTAACTGAATGTAGCAATGTATAAAGTGGGACTTGTTAATAGATATATTTCTTCCTCCTCGCCCATTTCTGTGTCTACTACAATTTTACTTAGACTATATATGATTCACTAGAAAGAGGAAAATGCAACTTTTAAAATTTAAAGCATAACAAAAATATTCAAGCAGATTTTACCGCATAGGAAAGACAAAGGAGAAGTTTGTAGTATAATCTGGAAAACATGCAAAGGACACACCTGTACATATGTGACACGCCAGTCTTGCAACATTTTCCCTAGCTTACGTCTTTGCCATGCAGCATTTGTACAAAGAATTTTGAGTAAATTTATCACCAACTGCATACATAATATTTGTACAGGTTATACAAAATGCTTAATTCAACAAAACATGAGTTGTACAACTCTTTATTTTGGGGGAAAATTTCATATTTGAATGATACTGTCCTTGAGTAAGAAAAGGATAAAAAAAAACCTAAACAAAATTAAAAGGCAATAATTAAACCTTGCTAATTTTAGGTAACTCAAAAAGATGGTAATCATAGTCTAAAGCATGCATGTCTATACTATTTTGGGAACACATACAAGAGTGAAATGGGTTATGTAGACTGTTAATGATATGACATACCAAATGAGAAATGACTAGAATTGCATTACCTGTTCTAGTTGCACCATAAATTCATTTTTCTGAATGTCATGATTCTCTGTGACCTCAGGTAATCCAGCAGCTTTGGTGATCATAGAAAACATAGAATCCCGTCCATAGAGTTTCCCATCCTGGACCAGCAGTAGCTGATAACAAGTTTTAAGTGTTGAGGTTGGAGAGCATGATTCAAAACAATAGTAGTAAGTAAAATTCTACTAACATGCATATCTAGCATTCCTTTTAGAGGCAAGAATATAGCAACACAATGGATCAAAAGCACAAAAATATGCATCAACAATCTATTCAGAACCATGAAGACATAATATGCATTAATTTGTGTCTCTAGCATCCCATGCCAGATTCCTCCAAAATTGAAAGTGTCAAGTGTTACAAGAAATCTGGTGCTTAGCCATGAATAATAGTTCCTTTAATATTTTGATCAATAGATGCAAGCTAGAAGATGTTACTCCCGAGTACTTTGTTTGACATGGTAAAACTGTGGTGATATGTATCACAATACTCATTAACATTGTCAAACTATCATGCTATAAAAATATGTGCCCATCAACCAGCTCAAAATCACATATATAAAAAGACAACATAGTACTATAAAGCTCCCACCATGGTTCGTGTTCAGGGAAGGGTTGGATCCACAGGATCTATAGTAGGCAGTCATTTTAAGATTGACATAAGGTCGAAAACAACTTTAAAATTTTGATACATGAAGAGACAGCAAATGAAAAATGAAAAATCTAAAAGACAAAAACTTAATTAAATAGCTAGAATGTATTAAAAAATCAGTAAAGTAACTAATAACAAGATAGGAGAACACTCATCAAATCAAGGAGAATTAAGGAACATTAGAAAATCCACCTGAAGATGGGATCTTGAAATCAAATCAGGTTGAGATTTCTGGAATTTAACCACAAAGAGTAAAGCAGCCTCCAGTGATGGGTCCAATGTGTAGGCACATATAATGTCTAGATCTCGAAGAAGTTTTATAAAATACTCAAGAGCCTGGAAGAGATAAACTGGAAACATTATAATAATGACTAATAGTTCCATGCATCAAAAGTAACCCTCTAATTACTGACCTTTTCCCAGCATAGAATTTTGATTGCTCGTGGTGGTGTCGGGGCTGATAGTCTACAGTTCAAACTAGCATCAAACCCAATTGGTTGACAACCAGATGCAGTTGTATTATCTATGTTTTGCTCAGACATTCCATGAGCATTTGCTCTAAGAAATTCTGAAGATTTTCGAATGAGATCAATCTCCGAAATGCATGAAGTTATGTGCTTTCTTGCTAACTCCAAACCTCTTCCTAGGGGTCGTTTTATAGACATCAAAAGATGGTAAAAATGCTGAAAGAAAATCAATGTAGAAAAATTTCAGTCAAAGAAAGCATGCTTAGTTGACAACAACAAATAGAAATTGAAACGATAGCTTAATTGTCACAAGATAGAAGCATAAATATACCAAATAAACAACTAATAAAAGAACTGTCAAGGAAAGCCACTGGGATTAGGGTAATTGTAAGGAAGACGAAGAAGAATGATAATGATGATGAAGTGAGGAATACAGAAGGTTCCAGGTATGGGTACCAAGTTTTAAAGTCAAATGCATCACACAGTGGATATCAGCATTAGGTGTAGGACATACTCGATTTCCTTTATCAAACTAAGGGCCTATCTGTTTAAGGTTTTAAAAGAAGTGATTTTGATGTTGTGCAAAAACTGATTTATTTTTTAGAAAATTTATGTGCAGCAGAAGCTATTTTTGTCTGGTACAAATATAAAAAGAACTTTTTATTCTGAAAGATACAATTTTAGCTTGTTATTTTTCAGAAGCAGCTTTAAATAGCTTCTCAAAATAATCAGAAATCTAATTTCTTTCAGATTCTGATTTTGTTCAGAAGCTTAAACAAACACATTAAGAATTGTTAAAAGTGATTTTCTCATTAAAAGAAGTTGAAACAAATGGAATGTAAAACTATGCTAATCGAGTAAATTTAAAAGGCTAAATGATGACTTTACAATCTTTATCATCTTATAATTTGGATTGATTAAATATACAGCAAAAAGTAAATTATTTATAAATAGACACAACTTTTGTCAAATGCATAAATTATGCATGAGTATAATTTTGCATTATTTGCATAACTTAGAAGAGAATAAACATAGGATAAAACCTTACGAAAACGTAATCGGCATAACAGTGCTTTGCAATAGCCTTCTTCCAGATCAGGATTATTTTGAAGTGGCTCTATATCTGCAACCAAATAGCTCACAACTAAAGGCATAAGCATATGTTGCACCCCTTTTGTGATTGGGAGAAAAGGAAGGTTGGTTTGAATGAAACATTATGAAGCTTAAGAGGCATTTTGAGCCCCAAATGCAAATCATAATTGCCAGTGCTGTTGAAATCTCAACTTCTTATTTCTAATTTCTTTTTCTGACTTGACCGGTATACATACAGCAAAACAAATTTATAAGAGAAACATTACAAAATGATCAAATATTTAAAATGGTGCACATATCTCAAATATAGTAGATGGCACAAAAAGCAGATAAACAATATAAAATAATTTAAGAATGGCACAAAGCCAGCCACAACAGATATTGGGAACATTTTCAAACAAAAGAAAATTAACACTCTTCAAGGTTTATTAACTACGCTTATTCTTTCCCTCTAGAACATTATTACCAAGTGGCATACTCACTCCCTTCTACAAAACTATTTGAACCTCATTGTAATATTATAATATGAGGCCTCACCACCACTACTACTACAACAACAACTAAGTTTTATTTCACTGGGAGAGAAGTCGGTTACATGAATCATATAATGCCATTGAACTTGATCAAAAACCAAATCAAAAACATTATTTATCACCAAATGTCAAGGACCAAATCAAAGACATTAACTGTATCATTAACAAAGAAGAAAAATACTGCAGAATCAATTTTGCATTACCTCGAGCAAAGCTCCTACAAAGGTTTCGCACAATAAAAAGCACAACTAATTCATTCTCTCTCTTCCCCCACACTATATGAAAACATTACACATCCATTTGCTCTCCATAACTAATTACTCTCTAATTCCCATTCTGCCCCTTCTTATTTCTCCTGCTTTATGTTTTCCAAATCCAAGGCCCATAACTGAGTTGGATTGGCCTTGTCCACTAAGGTTCATGGAGCCTAACACCAAATCCCTTTTAATAATTTTCTCTAAAGTTTTTCTAGATCTCCTTTTTCCTCGTTTTACTGGAATAAAAGTCATGTCATCCATTCTTTTCATTAGTGCTTCCAGTGACCTTTGCATATGACTATTGATTAAACTACCTTAAACAATTTTCAATCATCTTTTTTTGTTATAGACGTTACTTTAATATTCTCACATGTATACTTATTTTTTATCTTATTCTTTCTTGTGTAATCACTCATCCATTTTTACAAAACAAAATGTAATGTTTTAAGTTTCAACAAGCAATTACCTTCTAAAACTCTTCTTTTAGATGATGAAGCCTTACAAGCACGCAATTGGCGAGATATTGTTTCTTCAACAGCATTTAACATTGACAAACACTTTTCATCTCCATCTCCACTTAGAGGAAGGCCATATGCCATTGTAAATAGATCCTCTTCCTGACACAAATAAATACAAGCATATTTTAGTAGGAAAAAAATGCTCTTCAAGAATATAATCTAAAAATAGATATGGCCATATGTTCAAAGAAATGTACAACTTTATAAAAAGTACAGATAGAGCATGTGTTAGGAAATCAAATATCTATTGCCACATATTGATATGTATCCGCTTAGAGGAAGGCTGCATGTCAGTGTTGATCAATAATCTACATGTGACACAAATAAATATCACAAAGTATAATCCATAAAGTGAGATCCATATACATAAATAAATAAACATAAAGAATCCCAAGTCCTAATGGTATTCCGCTCTTTCTTCCTAAAGTAATTTAATACATGGCAACAAGGCAATAAATTATCACATTCTTACAAAAGAAGAAAAACAATTACTGAATTCACTCAATAGAAGAATTAAAAAATTTCAGAAAGATAATGATACCAAAAAATGTTTCTACATAATAGAGATAAAAAAAAAAAAAGAGCTGTTGGAATACTTTACTTCATGTGTTCGTGCATCTGAGACAACTGAAAGAACTGCTTTGCAGGTTGCACGTATGACTTTACAGTAAGAGTGCAACAAGGCATGTGATGATGTCCTTTCAGGTCGTAAGAGATAGAGGCAAGAATAGACAGTTTGTGCCAATGAATGACCCTTGTGCCATGTTGCCTGCAATTCCACATGACAACTAAGAGAAGGAGAAGGGAAATATATAATTAAGACTTGTGTAGCATGGAGAATGATATTGAACACAAACAAATGTTACTGCTTGTGTATCTCTGAAAATTGTGTTTACTCAAATTCTAATGTTATATTTGACTAAAACATATACAACATTTCTTGGGGAAGGAGGGAGCTGAGAGAGAGAGGAACTAAAATAGGGAATAAAGTATTGTACAAAAATAAATAAATAAAGACTAAAGAGCATCATATCAAGATTGCACATTTGTCAGCTTAGTCTATAACAAACATGCATAAATTGATGTTTCAGTATGTTTATGACAGAGAGGAAGAATTTTTGAACCCCCTTGGGAATAATTCCATAAACCCAAAGCTATGCTTATACAGTACAAGGTAAGCCATTTGGAAGGCAGATGCAATACAGCATAAATACCTCACAAGCTAGTAGATGGTCCATGATGTCAATCACACATCCAACATCAGTAGTTTTATCAGTACTAATAGGAACTGGAGCAACACCATTCTCAATGGCTTCCTCAAGAGAGTAGTATGTACAAGCAATGCCAGAATCCATCTTTGGATCCATTATCTGAAAAATAGCAAATAAAACAGCAAATCATACAATTATACACAAGACAAGACATATGCAAAACAGTGAACAGCTTCTCTAGCTTACATACACTTCTACATATTTCTTATGCAGCAGTGAGGTAAGCTCCTAATTTTATTTCGAAGCAACCAAATTGTTTATAGGAAACTTATATGATGCAGTTTATATGATATGAAAAATAATACCTCCAAAGCAGACATGGCAGCAAATAGATTGAAGTTATCACCGTGGATGAGCTCTCCCTCTTGAAGATCTAGCAATCCAACAAGGAAAGTTGGTTCAAAAACTAACTCCAGTTAATCACAGTAAAATTGCAAAACACACCATGGCAATAGCTCCGCGCTCCCGCCCCCTTTTTATATTATTCAGTATCTTAGTTTATAAAACACAACTTTTCTAAGCAAGATGAAAAATAAAATAAAAAATGAATAGGCATTTTTAACACTACTATTTATTTATTTATTTAAAGAGGGAATTGTCAGCAACATTACATTACAAAGCAAGGAATGAGGCATTGTAATGAAAAGGCTTAAACTAAGAAAAAAGAAGCAGAGGGAAGAGAAAGGAGAACCTTGACAAGCGGCATGAAGGAGGGGAGACACATCGGCCCAAACGGAGTTATCGCAGGAGGGAATGGATGAGCCTGGAGGTACGGTGGTGGCTGCTTCATCGCTGCGATCTTCGGCCATGCCTTCAACCTCAGTTATGTGATGATTGTTTGTAAAAGGAGAAACTCAAGTGTCTTCAATTTAAGGTCTTAGGTTGTGGTTTATGTTTGTGTCTCCGCAAAGCTACATGAACATGAAGGGAGAGTGTGCGCTTAATGGAGGGTTTAGGGTATGGTATAGTGCTATGCAATATCATATATGGATCCAATCAATGCCTTTGCAATTGCATTTTCCTCTGCTTCCTATTACCGTTTTTTTTCTTCCACTTCTCATTTTTCCAATTGCTGAATTTGGTTTTATTAAATAAAAGGTTCGCTTTTACTTTTAAACCCTGTACATCTAATTTAATTTATTTATTTATTAAAATATTTTTGTTAAAAAGTCATAAACTTCAAATTTTATAAATTATTTGTCTTATCATTTAATGTGATCAAGATCCAATCTTTTTTAAAAATATGTTTAATTTTTCATTAATACAACCTTAAATGAAGCTAAAGCGGATAGAATTTTATTTTTTTTATTCATTTGCATTAATTAGATTTTGTATAAATGAAGTCAAACACAAGTAATGATAGAAAAATAATAAAATCTATAAAAAATAAAATTAATAAATAAATTATATTAAAAAAAATTTAAACACATTTAAGTGAACAAAATACTTACTTTCCTGTTTGTTTCAAGAAATAATAGTCAAACTGAATGAGAAAATAAATGAAATATAAATATATTTTATAAAACTCATATCTAATATAAATTTTTAATTATAAAAATTTAAGTAAATTTATAATAAACTTTAATATAGGATTGGATTGCATATAACGTATCACTTTACAATTAACATGGTGAAGTATTTATTTTTGCAAGAGATAATTATCAAATTTTAAATGGAAGACTAAAATAAATAACAAGTCACGCATTATTTTTTTTAACTATAGACATAATATAAATATAAATAGTAAAATATTTTTTTAAGTATAAATATAAATAAATAATTGATCCACTGGTTTATAGTATAAATCATATACTTAGAAACTAATTTAATTTAATTTTTTAATTAAATTAAAAAATTATCTATCTTCTCAGAATTCAAATAAATAATGTCACACATTTAAAATTTAATTTTAACATTAAAAAACCTTAATTAAACAACTACCTACTTTTTAATAATTAAAGTTTTAGTACATACAAATTTAAACACTTATTCTTTACAAAGTCTTTATACTGCCTTAAAGGTTTACGCTTTGCACAAACAATGTAATTGTTATATTTTTATGTTAATGACATTTTTTAGTCAAGAATAAAATATTAATCCATTCTAATAATTCAAAACAATAAAATAAAATTATTTTGTTTGATAATTTTGTATATACAATTTTTTTAAAAATCATATATACCTTCAACTGAGACTAGGTGACATTAATATACTTATAAATAAGTATATAACATAAGCTATTGCTAATTATTTTTAAAGTGAAAATTTGTTTCTCATTGTTTAAATAACACTGTTATAAATATCTACAAAGAAGGTTGACCTAAATATAAATGTATTAAATTCAAAAATACTACTAACAAAATTTTTATGTATAAATAAATATATATATATTTAAATGTGCTAATTCGTGCAGAATTTTTTACATTATCAACTAATTAGATTATATCATAGATATAATTTTTATATTAATTATTAAAAAAATTAATAATTTTTATTGACATAACAATCTATAATTAAATGATTGTGTTAAAAAAATTGTAATATAAGCATATTTTTATCAAATTATTTTTAAATCAAAATAAGATATATAAATAAATAAAATAGTACAACTATACTTATTATTCTATTATACGGAATAAAAATAAATTAAAAAAATAAATTTGTTTAAATTGACAAAGAATTGTAAGTAAAATATTTAAGTTAAAACATATCATAAAATATGATATGATATCTCAATATCTAACTTTTTAAAAATAAATCCAACTTTAGAAAAACAAAAAAATAATCTTTTAATTTAATTTTATCTATAAATGCATATTTAATTCAATAAAGTATATTGATACTTAAAATTTTAAACAAGAAATAGAATTTTAAAAAAAAATTAAAAAATATAATATTCAATGTAGAAAAAACAACATAGCTTAAGGACAATGTGAATAATTTTTTAAAAATATTATTATTCAAGAACAAAGGTTTAAATGTATAATACAATAATAACTAAGAATAGATAACATCATTTGATTGTAATTGTTATTATTCTTACTATTCCCAGTTGGTATAATATAATCATCTTGTTCTCATTAAATTTTAAGATGACTATCTGTAATCACTAAAAATAGTAATTTATAATTTGAATTTTTTATATTCATTTTTATATATTTTAAAAGAGCTCTAGAGACATCAATAAAGTAAAAATCAGCAAAAGTAAACGAAATAAATAATTTCATCAATTAGGAAGAATTTTAAAATTGATGGAACTAAAAGTGGAAGCCTGATGTTTATTTCATGTTAAACATACTCTAAAGAGTGCTTTTAGCACAATGCACATGTTTCATCAAAATTTACACATACTGGCTTGTGATCAAATCATATATCACTAAGGTAACATGATATTGAGCCTTCTAAGCCATATTGAATGAAGAATCAAATGAAAAACATCAAACGGTTTAGCTGGTCGATTCAATACAAAATGTCTTTGAACTTTGATCACCCTCTTTTGTAATTCCAAGTACTTGGCATGTGAAACACTTTTCAACATGGTCTTGATTTCAGGTATCCTATTTGATGGAATATGCAATGAAACTTTGCTCCAATCAAGAACATCACTGAAGGGAAGTTGATAATAATCGGAGACAATTACTGGGACACACCCTGCATTGATAGACTCCACAAGTCTAGGACTTGCCACTTCATAGCCACTTGGACACAAGCAAAACTTGCTTTGTCTCATGAAGCCATTATAGTCAAGGCCCTTGGGAAGATACTCATGCACTTGAATTTCTTCATCTTTGTCCTTCCAATGTTTTAGAAGTTTCTCCCTAATCTTACCATGGGCCCCTCCAGCAAAGAAAGCAAGTATTGAACGACGATTCGGGTCTAAACTAGGAATTGGTGAGCTCAACTTGTAGCCTTGCAAGTTCATTTCAGGTATTGATACGTCCCTTTCAGGCTTAAACCCTTCTGATCTGTTAGCATTACATAACACTCTTATTAAGTTCTTGAAAAGCTCTTTACCTAATTCCTCTCTTGAGATATCCGGTGCCTGCAACAAATAAAACACATAGGTACTTGATAGAACATTTGAGATATAAAGGAAATTGAAACTCAACAAATTGTTACCCAGTCATGACAAGAAGCTAGAAAATGATCCGCTCCTTTACTTCTGTTCCAGTATGGGTACATGCGAGCTATGGTGTTGGTATAATCAACGGTGATCCGCACCAATTGATCACGAGAGTAGGTGGTGAGAGGATTGTATAGATACCGCACGATTTGGGTCACACTTATGGGTAGCAAAAAAACATGGGCCTCATCTGGATGGCGGGCCGAGAATGGGCTCACTTGGTTATCAATTTCAGCCATTAAGTGTCCCTCAATGCCATAAATTGAGTTCATGGGCCCATCGTGTACCAAGGGTGGTTCTCCTTCTTTGTAAGTCCACACTTTGAATCTCTTCAACATCTCTATGTGACTTCTGAACAATTTAAGAATGTTCTATCAAGAGTTATGACTACGCCCAAAATAAGTAAAGGCTAGACAAAATGACTTACGGGCATGTTTGTATGGGACTGAACTTTGTAAAAAAAATAAATTGATATTTGGATTTTTTAACTTAAATTGATTTTGCTTTAAAATTCACTTTAAATTAATGCGGTAATATGTAGCTTTTGCATTGAATTGAACAATTTATACTAATTTTTAAACAAAATCAATCCTATTATATAATCAAATTTATTTTAACTCATTTATAAATATTCAGCCAAACACACTTAGAGGAAAGAGAATCACGTCAAGGGACAGGTAATGCCTTTTGTATTAAAACAAAAGGGGAAATTAAGTGAAGGTTGTCAGATAATTAAGTATTAGGACTAAAAATCTGATGTCTAATGAAGATGATTTCATGCCACTAATTAAGGAGCGAAATTTCAGGGCAGAATTCTGACGTTTTTGTGAAGGAGAGTGTGAAGCTAAACCTGAACCATCGTGCACGAAAAACCAAAAGAAGGAAAAAAGATTGGCCTCAAGTTATCAATAAAACCTGCATGATTGAGCTAATTAACTCATACGGAAGTATGCTTTAATTTCTCACTGATTGTTTTATGATAATTTTTTTTGCTCATCTCCTATTCTAGCATTAAATCTTATCTTTCTAAATAACCACTTTTTATTATAACTGGTTAAATTTCTCTGTCGCTTATTATTATTTTAATTAAGTTGTCTTTCATTTTCGGTACGAAAACGATGAAAACTTTTATCATGTTATGAATAATTTGGATAATATATTAGAAGATAAAAATATATAATTGAGTTACATATGAAGACCGATAAATTTATTATTTATTCTTAACGTTTTCTCTGTCACTTAAGTGTTTTTAAGAGTATTTTCTTTACAAATAAATATCACTAATAATTAATTTGTTGATAGTCGGGTGTAACTATAAAGTACAAGTGTTTGGAGGTAAATACTACATTTCTGCTTAGAATAATATGAATATATCACCTAACTTTTGCCAATATATTGTCACTAAATTTACATGAATGTATTTATAAATAAATAAATAAATTTACACGAATGTAACATTTATTTACATTCGTTATTTAAGTCTATATTTTGCATATTGTTAAGAAAACATTTATTGTTAACCTAATAACTAAACAAAAAACTTTGTACAAATAATTAACTTATCGATAACCTATGTAAATTTTAAGTGTTGATATGTCATTCAAATTAGAACCAAAAAAATCACAAAACTGGTGTTTGTGCATATATAACCTTCCATCTAGCTAATTCTACTTTCTCTTTCCTAGTGTAACGCAAACAATAATATGTAAATAAATAAACTAGACATTATCATATTAAACCGATTTGGGTGTATATTGGATGAACACAATAACACCATGAATATAGAACTGATCATTCCCTATGTAATCTTGTGTGTATATATACAAGGCACCAAGCATGGGAATAGAAAACAAGTTAAAAAAGGAAAAAATAAGCAACACGATGGTAGAAAATAAGTCTTGAATTAACCAAAACATATAAATGAAAGAGGCTAGGTCTCAAGTTTGATTAAGAAAAATATTAACTTCAATTCTCATTGAGTTTAAAAAATCAATATCTGTAAGATTTTATTAAAAAAAATTATTATACTTTTATAATTTTGATACAATAAATATATTTTTTAATAAAAAAAAATTACTTCTTTTATAGACTTTAGAGTTAGATTAACAAAAAAATTTCATTGAAGTGCAAGAGTGATAGTTACTTAACTGGTGAAAAGCATAGGCATTTCTGTAAACGGATCCTCTGGGGACAAATATCTCTTCCTTCTCTGATGTGAAGTTCTTCCATCGTATCGCTCTGCGAATAGCCACTCTAGCTTCGGCCAAGTCTTCTTCAATTTTTAATAAACTGCTATTATTCCTATTCCTCTTCTCCTTCTATGCATATACGCAAATCACAAATTTAAAAGCAATGAAATATAATTTACCAGTAATAACAAGAAAGGTAGCTAAATTAAAACATATATTGATATCATGATATGAAAAGAATATATAAACCGAACTTTTTATTTAAAGAAAAAAAAAAGACACACTTTTATGTGTTTAGTGATGGTAGCATTAACAGCACTGGATGACAAGGATGGCTTCAATGGTAGAGTTTGTTCCTCTGCGACGTCAAGAGTTTTGAGATCGTTTCTTGGTGGTAGGAGGTTAATGGAAGGCAAAAGGAGAACTACGTCGTTGTGGTTATATGTAAAGAAAGCGAGGAGGACAAGGAAGAGCAACGTTACGGAGAATACAAGCCATGAATTTGTTATCAAGGTTGCTGCCATAGGTATTGTGTCAGTTTCTTGATTTGGTAAACGATGGTTCAGTTGTTTCTTTTCCCTCTCTTGTTCTCTCTGCGTGTTCTCTATCAGCTATACCTAAGCTATGTTGTTAATGGGTAGAAAGAAAGGGATGGGAAGAGAGACATAGCATGAAGAAGATTGTTGAAAAAAGTTGACCAACTATAGCCTTTTAATTTGTAGGCCACATACTCACTTCTCATGGTTGGTTCATAATGGTTAGTCAAGATTTAATGGAACGTTTTTTGAATGGGATGGAAGAAGCACTTAATTAAGGATATGAATCACAAATATAATACTTGATTCGACAGAATTTAAAGATATAATGCATAAAATAATGTTGATATTGGAAAGTTTTGGTTGAAATGTGAGTCACAAGTGGGGAGAAAGAAAAAAGAGCAGTTGTCAATTGTGATTTACTATTCGTAATAAGTATTAATTTACCGATTTGGCGGGTAACAAGATAAAAAAATCACTCCAAATATTGGGTTAAGCTTACTTGAACAGTGTAGTTAAAGGCATTGTTAGAATATGCATAGATATCATTAAAAGAAAGACGTACTTTCTAAGATATGGTATTTCCATTGATGAACAGTAATGTTTTCTTGATTTTTAAAGTAACAAATAAATCAAAATTTTAGAAATAATCATGAAATCAAATCAAATCAAATATACAAAAATTATACTATACATCCGTTGTTTACAGTAGAAGTCAACTAGCTAGGATCAATAACTACAAACATGAAATATACCTCAACTTAGCCGAAATAATTATTAAAAAAAATTATAAAAATAAAAAGATAGCTAGCAATTATGAACCAATCAACCTAAAGTTTACCCTTCTAAGCCAGATTGAATGAAGTATCATATGCATCAGATCAAATGGCTTCGCTGGTCGATTAATTAGAAAATGCCTTCGAACTCTCAACACATTCATATGCAGTCTCAAATACTTATTTTTTGGAACACTTTGTAATATTGTCTTGATTTCTGGAATTTTCTTCACTGGAATCTCAATTGAGAATTGTCTCCAATTCAACACATCGCTAAAAGGCAGAGAGTAATTGTCAGAAATGATTACAGGCACGCATCCTGCATGAATTGCTTCCACCACTCTAGGACTAGCAACTTCATATCCACTAGGACACAAGCAGAACATGCTTTGTCCCATTAATTTGGTGTAGTTTTGACCCTTTCGAAGTTGTTCATGAACTTGGACTTCATTATCTTTATCCTTCCAATGATTTAGCAATATTGTTCGAATTGCACCATGTTCTCTGCCAGCAAAAAAAGCCAATATGTTGCGGTTGTTTGGGTGTTGGCCTAAGCTAGGTGGACCTAGCTTTCCTTTCGGTAAATACACTTCAGGGATGGACACGTCTCTATTGGGATGAAATCCTTCTGATGTGTTAGCATTGCAGAGTGCCCTGATGAAGCTTTTGAAGAGTTTTGGATTTCGAAGTGAAACTTTTGGACCCTGATTCATTCAATCAAGCATGCGATTCTAATTTATTAAAAAAGTTTAATTTTAATATATCGTTACTATAATTTTTTTTTATTATAGTCATGTATAATTTTTAAATCAATTATTATAAATGTTAATGACTCTAATGATGTCAATGATTTCTATGTTATGACACTTTACGATAATAATGCAAATTTTTTCTACACTGTTGACTTATTTTATAAATTTTAGAAAATTATATTGTTCATGCAACATTTTTTTACCGTATTTTTTACAATCATTTTTCTATCTCTTTCAATTAATTCACATATTTTTTCATATCTCTCTATCTTTTTTTACAAAATATTGTAAATAAAATAGAACTAGCATTTATCAAACAAAATGTGCTAATAACCATATTGAAGAATCTTATTTGCCAACACTAGTGGGAAAAAAATATTAATAAAACACTAAGGGCTGAAATCATTAAAAAAATTAAAAACATTATATTAAGTTTAAATGAGATACTAAGTATTATAGTATTCTCTATTAATATAATTTTTACTTAATAAAAATTAAATTATTAATATAAATATTTAAAATTTATACTGATAAGATAATGCTTTATATTAATATACATTTTATTGATTATATATATATATATAAAAATTGTCGGGACGCATTCATATTAGATATTAAACTTTAATATTTATATTACTTCTTAAATTTGTCAATCTTACATTCTATAAACAAATTTAAAAAATGTGTATAATTTTTTGTCAAATAAAAACTCCTAAGAATAGAAACCTAATAAAAACTTCTAAAAATAGAAACCTAACTATTATTTTAATTAATAAATGACATTTTTATTAAATATCAAATTGGTAATATTATTTTTAGTTAATAAAAAATTCCACATGCAACACTCCTTTGCAATTCATTTGTTCTCTCTATCTATTTACATATTTCCCTTAGCTTGGAATAACTAACAAGGAAAGAGGAGGTAAGAAAACTAAAATATAATTACGTTAAATATGCATAAGAACTTACCCAATCATGACATGAAAGTAGAACATGGTCAGCACCTTGGCTTCTGTTCCAGTAAGGATACTTATCTGCAACAACACCAATATAATCTTCCACTAACCGCTGCAGGCGAACAGGGTCGTAATCAGACCGTTGTAGGATAGGCTTGTAAACGTAGTGAACAACGTTAGCTATGCTAAAGGGAAGGAGAAAAACGTGTGCCTCATCAGGATCTCTTGCCCTGAAGGAACTCCTCTTATTATCATTATCCATTTCATCTATGAATTGCCCTTCAATAGAGTATATGCTGTTTACTGGGCCATCATGCACCAGTGGTTGCTCTCCTTCCTCGTATACCCACACCTTCATTCTCTTCTCCATCTCCATGTGGCTCCTGTTTCCAGTGTTTTACAAAAGAATCTCAGAAAACCCACTACGTACCTACATTTTCTTCTTCTCACTAATTCCACAATATTTTATGAAAGCAAGACGATATGCACATGATGCCTTTAATGGATATGAAAAATTATTTTTATCTTCTACCTAACGCTACATAATAAAAAATTAATAAATAAATATTTTTATTAAAATTTATAACATTTAATGTTATTAACATATCAAATTTTGTACTATTTTATTTTAACAAAAACTATTATATTTTTATTTTTATTTTGTGTCTTTAAAAATAAACAATTAAAAAATAGCAAGAAAAAAAATATGCATGTGGTAAATGAGTAAATTATTATTTTAGCCTCTAATTTTAATTTTTTTTTACTTTAATTTCTAATTTATTATCTGACTTTGTAACAATGATTCAATTAAATTAACATACCAAGTAAATATTTAACGTGTCACCTAATTAGTTTTGTCAAGTGCTAATGACTTCTACTAATAATCAAATATCTCAACAAGTCAATTGCAAGGACTATAATAAATTTTTAACTAAGTTAAGAATGAAATCGAAACACACATAAAATTAAGGATTAATTCAAACGAGTATTTCCTGTTTAGGATAAATAGTTTAAAAGATGAAGGTGCTTCAGAGTTTTTCAAGCTTAACTGGTGAAAAGCACGTGGATTCCAGTAAATAGATCCTTGGGGGACAAAAATTCCTTCCTTTGCTGAAGTATAGTTGCTTGACCTGATAGCTTTCTGAATTGAGGCTCGTGCTTGTGCTAGACCTTGTTCTATTTTCTCCAAACTACTCAATTTCTTCTATAAGGAAAACCAATTAAGGGAAGACACCCCAAGTACAGTAAGAGAAAATAATATCATCTATACTTGAATTTTAAAAAAAAAAAAAAAAAAAAAACTCTTGCTCTACATTTTAAGGTTGCATACCTGAACGGCACTGTGTTTAATAGTATTATTGTAGGTTTCATTTGCAGGGGTAAAATTGTAGACAAGTTGAAGTGGGTGCAACAGTGGTGGTGAGGGTGAGGTTACGTTTGTGTGGTTGTGTTCGACGGTGGAAAGGGCTGAACGAGGAGCGAATTGGATAAGATAAATTTGTTCCTTCAAGGACGAGAAGAAGATGAAGGAAGTGACAAAAACAATCACGGGAAATATAAATGCTGAAACGGGGAATCTGAAGCATTCCATTGCCTCTAAACTTTGCCAGCTTTCGCCTTATATTTTCAATGGTGTAGATAAATAATTATAAAGATTTTCCTTCTCAATAAACAAAAACCAGACATGCCGGAAAAGGTGATACTTGGGATAAATCATAAGTAATTTGTCCAAAGTGATTATCTTATCGTAATGTTAAAATTTAAATGGTCACAAATGTTTTCTTATTTTTAATTTTTAGCACGTGAGACAAATTTGGTTTGCGTACATGGCAGTCGGTGGAGTAACTAGAAAAGACAAATAAACTATACGTTTAATTTTTATGCATATATGCATTAATAAGATAAGAATATCCGTATTATTAATTAATTAAAATACATTATGATATGACAATATATAATTAAATGATAATATAAATAAGTTAAACTATCAATATATTTAAAGAGATAAATCTTCTTATGCCAGTATAAGTTTAAAAACTCTTTATTTAACTTAAATCTAACATGTTATAATTTATTACTTTATTTACCATTAAATTTAAATTAAATAAAAAATTCAGATTTAGTACAAGAGCTTTTATACTTATATTTGTGAAAAGATCCTTCCCGTATTTAAATTAAATTTATAAACTGATTAACGAAGTTTATTTGCATTTTTAACGTATGGCAAAATTTGAATATTTTGCTTCTTTCAAGTTTTTTTAAAGCAGTGAAAGTTTGTTAACATATTAACTATAACGAAAGAACATTGGCTACCAATAATTAACTTATCGACAACCAGTGTAAATTGTTATATATATATCATTCAACTTAAAAATAAATATGTGCAAGAGAAGCTTCAAAATATGAATTTATTTTTTTTTTATGCTCAATTTTTACACTGCCCATGTCAACCCCTGTTCAGCAGCAGGTCAAAATTGTAGGCCAACTGGGTCACTCCAGGCACAAGTTGCCTGTTTCATCATTTGTTTCCTTTTTTCTTTTTCCAATTTATTTTTGAATTTTTAAAATTTTTCTGACTTGGGAGGAAGATTTAAATCTTAGGGAAATAGGAAATTTAAAGTTTAGCAAGGATAAAAAACCACAGACATGAAATATATCTCAATTTTGTCGAAATAATTAATAATAAAGACTGTATAGAAATATAATGATAGCTAGTTCTTATGAAGCAATCAATCCAAAGTTTAGCCTTCTGAGCCAAATTGAGTGAAGTATCATATGTAAGAGATCGAATGGCTGTGCTGGTCGATTAATCAAAAAATGCCTTCGAACTCTCAACACATTCATATGCAGTCTCAAATACTTATTTTTGGAAATACTTTGTAATATTGTCTTGATTTCTGGTATTTTCTTCACTGGAATCTCAATTGAGAATTGTCTCCAATTCAACACATCGCTAAAAGGCAGAGAGTAATTGTCAGAAATGATTACAGGCACGCATCCTGCATGAATTGCTTCCACCACTCTAGGACTAGCAACTTCATATCCACTAGGACACAAGCAGAACATGCTTTGTCCCATTAATTTGGTGTAGTTTTGACCCTTTCGAAGTTGTTCATGAACTTGGACTTCATTATCTTTATCCTTCCAATGATTTAGCAATATTGTTCGAATTGCACCATGTTCTCTGCCAGCAAAAAAAGCCAATATGTTGCGGTTGTTTGGGTGTTGGCCTAAGCTAGGTGGACCTAGCTTTCCTTTCGGTAAATACACTTCAGGGATGGACACGTCTCTATTGGGATGAAATCCTTCTGAGGTGTTAGCATTGCAGAGTGCCCTGATGAAGCTTTTGAAGAGTTTACGATTGCCAAATGAAACTTGTGGACCCTGATTCATTCGCATGTGATTCAAGTTATATATATATATAATACCTTTCATAATTTTTTTTTCTATCTCTTTCAATCACATATCACACATTTTGATATCTTTTGATATCTTTCTATATTTCTATATCTCAGTATATCTTTCTCTCATTTTGATAAAATGTTGTACAAAAATAAAATACTAATGTTTCTCAAATAAAATATGCTATTAACCATATTGAAGACTTTTATTTACTAAAACCAATAGAAAAAATAGAGAAAGAAAAGTATTATTAAAGTACTAAAGGCTAAAATCACTAAAAATTGAGTTAGAAAGCGATTACATAAAATAGTACACACAACATTACATTCTATGTTAATATGGGTTTTAGGCCTTTTTTTATACGAAAAGAAAATAAATATAAAAATATGGAATTTTGAGAAAAATTAAAGAAATATGAAAATCTTTCAAAAACCACCAACGAAAATTTTTTATGCAAAAATTGTAAAAAATCGTCAATAGTATTTTTTTAGTTTTTAATTTATATATATATATATATATATATATATATATATATATTAAAAAAATGTCATTCAAGTTTTTAACTATTTTTATAATTTTTTATATATTTTTAAAAAAAATAGTTTGATACTTAAATCTTTATAATTGTAAATTATTTAATTTCTAAATCTCTGCACCTAGTCAAAAATTGCCTCTATATATTTTCATAATTTTTTTCAAAATCTCATATTTTAGTATATATTATTTTTAAATACCATATATAAAAAGTTAGTCCGAATGTTTATCCAATAAAATATAAATTATTAATATAAAAATTTTAAGCTAACATTAATAATACAATGCATAGTACTAATAAATAACTTTATCAATAGAGGTTAAATTTTATATATATATATATATAGAGAGAGAGAGAGAGAGAGAGAGAGAGAGAGAGAGAAGTAAAGAACTGAAGTAAGAAAACTAACTACGTGAACAATGTACATAAGAACTTACCCAATCATGACATGAAAGGAGAAAATGGTCAGCACCTTGGCTTCTATTCCAATAAGGATACCTATCTGCAATAACACCAATATAATCTTCCACTAACCAATACAGGCGGTCCCTGCGGTAATCGGAACGCTTTAGGAGAGGCTTGTAAACGTATTGAACAACGTTAACTATGCTAAAGGGAATGAGAAAAACGTGTGCCTCGTCAGGATGTCTAGCTCTGAAGTGATTCCAATTATCATTTTCCATTTCATCTATAAATTGCCCTTCAATTGCGTATATGCTGTTTGCTGGCCCATAATGCACTAATGGTTGCTCTCCTTCCTTGTATACCCACACCTTGAATGACTTAACCATCTCCATGTGGCTCCTGTTCCAGTGTTTTACAAAATAATTTGTCAGAACTTCTCCACTCTAACTCCAGTATATTTTATAAGCCAAGACGATGCACATGATGACATTAAAGGTAAGCATATGTAGAGTTGTGGTGAATGGGTAAATTTCACTTTAATTTTTAACTTGTTTAAACACATTACATATTAGTTCTGCAGTTAAGTAAGATTAGTAGTATATAATTAATGAAATTACTTATCTGGCATACAAAATTCAAACTTAATATGTTAAGTTACATGTCACACTACAAATTACTTCCTTTAAGTCTTACAGGAGTATGTTTAAATTCACACATCTCACAAAATTTTAGCATTATCATTTCTTCTCTCATTCACTTTAAACTTTATCCGTTCATATCTATTATCTCACTTTAAATTATACTAACTCAGTTGAGTTAACATACCAAGTTAGCATTTAATGTGTTACCTGAATAATTTGATTAACTGCTGTTGACTTTTACTAATAGATGTTTTAACACTTTTAAGGATTAAAGTAAAGCCGTTATTAAGTTAAAAATGGGATCAAAAAAGACTTTAAAATTAATAATTAAAATAATAATTTTCTCGTGAGAATTAATAACTAATTTAAACGACGAGGGTGCTTCAAAATTTAACAAGCTTAACTGGTGAAAAGCACGTGGATTCCAGTAAACAGATCCTTGGGAGACACTAATTCCTTCCTTTGCTGAAGTATAGTTGCTTGACCGGATAGCTTTCTGAATGGAGGCTCGCGCTTGAGCTAGACCTCTTTCTATTTTCTCCAAACTATTCAATTTCTTCTATAAGGAAAACCAAAAAGGGAAGACAACCCAATAGTACAGTAAGAGAAAATAATATCATCTATACTTGAATTTTTTTTAAAAAAAAAAAAAGATAACACTTGAACTACTTTTTAAGGTTGCATACCTGAACGGCACTACTTTGAATAGTATTATTGTAGCTTTCATTTGCAGGGGTGAAATTGTAGAAAAGCTCAAGTGGGTGCAGTGGTGAGGGTGATGGTGAGGGTGAGGGTGAGGGTGAGGGTGAAGGTGAGCTTATGTTTGTGTGGTTGTATTCAACGGTAGAAAGTACAGAACGAGGAGCGAATAGGGTGACATAATTTTGTTCCTTGAAGGGCGAGAAGAAGATGAAGAAAATGACAGAGAAAATAGCGGGAAATAAAAATGCAGAAATGGGGCATCTGGAGCATTCCATTGCCTCTAAACTTGCCTGCCTTAGCCTTATATTTCGAATAGATAAATAACTAATATATGCCTTCTTACCAAATAAATAAATAAATGGGATGTTCTGGAAATTAAAGGTGATACTTGGGACAGATCATAAGGAATTTGTCTAAAGTGATCATCTTGTCGGAATGTAAAAAATTAATGGCCAGAAGTGCTTTCTCATTTTAGATTTGGACATGGAGATAATTTGGATTGCATACCGTCGGTGGAGTACTTTCCAGAAAAGACAAATAAACCATCTAACGAGGTTTATGTGCGTTATTAACATCATTAGAAATTCGAATGTCTTGCTCCTTCCAATTTTTTTAAAGTAGTGAAATTAGGTAGTTTATTTTGACCTATTATATATAATGTATTGTTTATTAACGACTGAAATAAAAGTTGATTAATTATTTAGTAGATTTGCTTGTTCAATTAATGGATGCAATGTTATAACAATTACAAAGGACATGTTTTGTTGTCTTGTCTCTTTTGGGGGCACATCTGATGGAATAAAGTACAAGTTTTAATGGAAAAACGGAGCAATTTATGATAAGTTCAAAGTGATAGGCTATCGCTAAAATGATAAAACAATCATGTAAAGTGTTATTAAAAATATTTTAAAAAATGTCTTATAGTTAGTATTTTTCATATTATTGATGATT